GGAAATGGTGAGAGTTTACATGACCTGCAGAGTGCTTGTGAGTACATATCATTACCGTATTTGCCAGCGGACATGATGCATGTTTTTGATCGTCCACCATCCTTGTATATATTGTAATTTAAATGTGCAAGATCATGTTTTTTCATATAAAACGACTTGAACATCACTTAAATATATAATGTAATTGATTTTCCTACAAAATGTGTACAAACGTGCGTCTTGTACGCCGGTAAATACGTCAATGCTTAATAATGTTATAATCGGTGAAACTTTCTAGGTTGAACTTGACAGTATAACGAAGGCTTCGTTATTTTTGTTATATACACGTGTTTTATACATTGGTGGAGCATTTGTTGAAGATTCTCTGGGATGGTTTCTAGTTAAAACGGAAGGATACTCTATAAGATAACATCTCCAGGGAGGGGCGGGCCGCGCCAGCAGCGTCACTCTCCACCATCAGCGGCAACACTGCGTGTCGGGATCATCACCATCATCCCTCTCTCCATGTTTACTGTAGTATTCCTCTTAACCTACAGCCAGAGGGTTCAGGGGATCGGTGTTCTCGCGGCCCGGTCTCTGCCCATACAGGCATAATTAGGCTGATGTTCAAATGTGACATAATAATTCCCGCTAGAACCACCACCATTATTGGCACACGTTCACAAGCATACTTGCCAAAAGATGTTAATTTCCAAAGTGGCGACGTAAAGGAAGTCATGTGACACTTACGTCGGTGCAAAGGGTCTTATCCTAGAGAATTTGTAGGTTTTGAGTGCCGGATACTGTCACGACACCAGAAGTACCGGGTCTTTGGACAAACACTTCCAAAGTGTTTGTGTCAAACTAAAACCTGATCTGAAAGGAAACTAAGAGGAGAAAGCGTCAAGCCATTACGACTATACTAGTATAGGACTGGGAAGGGAACAATTATGACGTCACACCATGTTCATACCATATACAGTATGAAATACAAAATTGTATCTCTTATTTCGATTAAGTTAGGCTAGGTTAAAGAATAACGCTGACGTAGAAGTGAACATTTTTTCGTCTTGGTCCGTGCCTCGACACCGACGGTAGTAAATAGTGCTCCCACCTTGGGTCCTTCTAATAATAATTACATAGACAGGTGGTGGTTGTGACTACTAGTGCTGGCTCTAGTTGCCTGCATCACTGTTGTGTTAAGGTCACGTCTGTTAGGTTTGAACAGCCTTGTAGTGCTCATCTGAAGATGTATTGAAGGTGTGCAGAATCGTGCCGTCTTATTTTCTGAGTGATTGGTGGCAATACCATGTACAGGCTGTGCTCACGTAATGCCATACGGGAGAGGATCATACACAATGTTAAAAATGGTAATACTATTTAGGTCACTGGTGTTGTCCCGTGTTTAGTACTGCTCGGCACTCGCTTCCCCTTTCAGAGCAGGAGAGACTTCTGAAATAAAAGGAATACAGAGAGCATATACGGCACGCATAAACACGATAAAGCATGGAAGATACTGGAAGGCCAAGTCCTAAATTTTCACAGTAAAATAACATACTGTAGCAAAAGATACGAAAGGAAATGTAGAAAGAGAACCAGTGGGGATAGAGGTGCCATATACAATCAAATTGTTGATAAATTGTTCGGCGAGATAATTAAGAGGAGAAAACACTTTGCCAATACAACCTTATAGCACTTGGAAGGGCTGAAACGACAAGGATTTGGGATATGAGGACGGAGAAGAGAAACGGTGCCCAACCACTTTGACCATCAGATATCAAACGCATACCTGCAAGAAGCGAGGCGGTCGTTGTACCGACCAGACCAAGTGGTTGGGAAATTGTTAGGATGTCTTCTAATATACCAGATTCAATGAAATAGTTGCAGGTCTACTTAAGATAGCTCCTTTTGTGTCGTGGATGAAATAAAAAGGCATATAGGGAGTGAGGGAGGGGGAAATGTGGATTGGTTGAATGTAGTAGTCGCCTCGGGAAGGTTGACGTTGTGGTAGTTATATAGAGCTGGTGGGCGGCCACGAGCGTAGGCTGCCACGCTTGTGGCCGCCCACCCATTTTTTATATTTTGTCCACTGGCGTCTTGTGAAGGGGATTAGTATCGGCAACCGGCTTCCCCCCACACACTCCTCCCTTGGACACAGGTGGAGGGTCACGTTGAGAGGGGGGGGGAGGGGACATGGAAGGTCCCTGGACTTGATAATCAAGCTTTGGGACCAGTGCAACAAGAGCCGCGGTGACGCAAACCCAGTCGCCCCACAACCACCCGGCCTGCCTGCCTGCTGAGCCTCAACCTGCGGTGCCATCGGAGCATTGCGTCACTGAGGCTGTGTGCCCAGGCCGCTCTTCTCACTCACTACCACGTGTTCCCTCAGGCACGTACTTTTTTTTTTATCCCGACGAGTACACGAGTAGGAAATTAAGCTTAATCCATATTTTGTAGACCGAAAGTTCTCCATGTCATAGTGCCTTTGGAAACAAGAGTAACATTTACCAACTCGTAAGGTTACTGTAGTTTTCGTCAGCTAGGGAAGCTTTTGGTTTATAAGCCAACATGTTAAGTCGAGCGTGCGCGCTACAAACTCTCAGAAATATTTCATAAATAGGTTTCGGTATATTTTGCACCTTTTGTGAAACTAAGATAAATATCCACCAGGAGACTTGGTCAGGGACAGGACCAGGCCTCGTGTATTGCTTTCTCTAACCACCTCAAGGTAACCTTAAAGTAGACATTCTTCAGTGTCTTCAGCAATTAGAAACACCGGTAAATTATTAGGGTTAAATCTGTAATTACCTAAGTGTAGTTACAGGATGAGAGCTACGCTCGTGGTGTCCCGTCTTCCCAGCACACTGTCATATAACGCTTTGAAACTACTGACGGTCATGGCCTCCACCACCTTCTCACCTAACTTGTTCCAACCGTCTACCACTCTTTGCGAAAGGTGAACTGTGTGAACGTTTCGCTGATGGCATCATGTGAAGGTTTAAATTGTTTAATGCTGTATATTGTGCATTGGTGTGTGACCGCCCTCCTTAATTTATTTATCTATCTAATATACAAGAGTTCTTACATTCTTGTGTTTGTGCTGGGATGATTGAACATCAGATCTTGAAAAAAAAAAAATATATATATATATATATATATATATATATATATATATATATATATATATATATATATATATATATATATATATATATATATATAAATTTTTTTTTTTTTAGGGGGTGGTAGGTAGGGAATAGGGGTGGTAGGAGAAGAAAATATCAGTGTTCAGTGAGGATCCACAAGGTCTTCTGAGTACTCTTTATTTTCTTCTCTGAGGCTATGGGTCCCTACACTAGCACCAGAAGTGGTACCCCTTCTAGGTTTAAAAAAAATATATATATGCGAACAAGCCTGAATGGTCCCCAGGACAATATGCAACTGAAAACTCACACCCCAGAAGTGACTCGAACCCATACTCCCAGAAGCAACGCAACTGGTATGTACAAGACGCCTTAATCCACTTGACCATCACGACCGGACAAAATGAGGTGATAGCCGAGGCTATTTGAACCACCCCACCGCCGGCACTCGGATAGTAATCTTGGGCATAGCATTTTACCAAATCACCTCATTCTTTGGGGCACACGTGAGGAACACAAATGCGAACAAGCCTGAATGGTCCCCAGGACAATATGCAACTGAAAACTCACACCCCAGAAGTGACTCGAACCCATACTCCCAGAAGCAACGCAACTGGTATGTACAAGACGCCTTAATCCACTTGACCATCACGACCGGACAAAATGAGGTGATAGCCGAGGCTATTTGAACCACCCCACCGCCGGCACTCGGATAGTAATCTTGGGCATAGCATTTTACCAAATCACCTCATTCTTTGGGGCACACGTGAGGAACACAAATGCGAACAAGCCTGAATGGTCCCCAGGACAATATGCAACTGAAAACTCACACCCCAGAAGTGACTCGAACCCATACTCCCAGAAGCAACGCAACTGGTATGTACAAGACGCCTTAATCCACTTGACCATCACGACCGGACAAAATGAGGTGATAGCCTTTTCAGTTGCATATTGTCCTGGGGGACCATTCAGGCTTGTTCGCATTTGTGTTCCTCACGTGTGCCCCAAAGAATGAGGTGATTTGGTAAAATGCTATGCCCAAGATTACTATCCGAGTGCCGGCGGTGGGGTGGTTCAAATAGCCTCGGCTATCACCTCATTTTGTCCGGTCGTGATGGTCAAGTGGATTAAGGCGTCTTGTACATACCAGTTGCGTTGCTTCTGGGAGTATGGGTTCGAGTCACTTCTGGGGTGTGAGTTTTCAGTTATATATATATATATATATATATATATATATATATATATATATATATATATATATATATATATATATATATATCGTACCTAGTAGCCAGAACGCACTTCTCAGCCTACTATGCAAGGCCCGATTTGCCTAATAAGCCTAGTTTTCGTGAATTAATGTTTTTTCGACTACCTAACCTACCTAACCTAACCTAACGTTTTCGGCTACCTAACCTAACCTAACCTATAAAGATAGGTTAGGTTAGGTTAGGTAGGGTTGGTTAGGTTCGGTCATATATCTACGTTAATTTTAACTCCAATAAAAAAAAATTTCCCTCATACATAATAAAATGGGTAGCTTTATCATTTCATAAGAAAAAAATTAGAGAAAACATATTAATTCAGGAAAACTTGGCTTATTAGGCAAATCGGGCCTTGCATAGTAGTCCAAAAAGTGCGTTCTGGCTACTAGGTACGACATATATATACATATATATATATATATATATATATATATATATATATATATATAATATATAATTTTTTTTTAATAAAAAAATGCAGTTATGGAACACTATAAATTTTTATTTTAATTTAACTTTTTTATTTAAATAATTTCCATATTTTATGTTGTAAAGAGTTCCTGGAATTCTATCTTAAATATATTGAATCAACTAAACCCAATTTTGTTTGCAGAGCTCTACCTACGAATCTATTTACGAACCCATTACTCCTCGACCCTCAAGTCAAATGTCGAACAAATCAGGTTACAGTCTTTATGGGCCTTACACATCGCCAAGAGCCAGAGGTTTGGCTCCGGCTCCCACAAATCAACCATTGCTCAATCCTGATAAAGCTGGCAAGGAAGCCGAAGTGGATGCACTTACTAACCTCTTAGTGCAATCCATGGATAGTACCAATGACCCAGAGTTCTTTGGTGCGTATGACTCGTGTATGTGCATCTCGTTTTTTGTTCTTAATTTAGTTTTAACCGTTAAAATTCTATTAATTGCTTTAAGTTGTACCATATTCCTGGTCATTTATCTTCCTTACCTTTTCTTATGTATGGGGTGGGACCTGTACACAAGAACAGGTAACAATAAGCAGTCCTGCATAAAGTCTTACTAAATATAACTCAATAATCCTAAATATACTTGTGTTCTGAACATTTGGCGAGTGAAAAGCTTGAATATAAAGACTGATTTTAAATAACTTTTTAACATTTCCCTCTGCTTTCCATATATGTGTGTGTGAAGGACTTGGTTAGTATATACAGTACTTAGTTTTAGAGGTGTACTATTTATTGATATTTTGATCAATACTTTTGTTGCCTTTATGCCCAATGCTGATCCATCGATATTAAAAAAAAAAGATACCCAGATTCTGATAGTTTTTATTAGTTTGTAATTGACATACTGAATTTGTAACGCTTGATCATTATGCTAGTCATACAACAACTATTCTTGTGGAGTACATTAAATGACTGTTGAATAGACTCCCCAGTTGTGATTACTGACTAGTAACTCAAATTTTTTAATGGGTGTTGTCTTACATAGTGGTTTTTAGGCTAGACATCTCACTTTTTCACTATGCTGAGCTTGAAACTTTGAATAGAAGTATGCATAGTACAAAATGTTATCATATTAAGATATCCTACATTAAATTTGAGAGACGAGACTAGAGGTGAATTTAAACCCATGTAATAACTAATTTTGTCAAGCAGGAGGGCTGGAAATGGAGGGGGGGGGGGGGAATAGGATCGAATTGAAAAAGCGGTGTAGGGAAAAGGGATTTTGGGAAAATAGGATGGGTGGTTGCAGGAATAGAGGCATGATTGGGTACAGGCAGGACTCGCCTAATTTTTCTTCCTGGGGGTTGAATATTGACTTTTTTGATGCCTCTTTGCCTTGAACTGACTGACTGTATAGTTTCCCAAGCCTATTGGGCTCTTGTCATATCACTTTTCTTAATAATGCATTACATTTGTTAGCTATATAACTATATAAAAATTTTCTAATATCCCTGTGGCCTATTTGGGTACTTAAGTTTCATTTTTTCCCTTGTTTGGAAACCACTCATTCGAAATAATGTCCTTGTTTGCCCAGTCATTTCCCCCCAGAAAATGCCTTTTTGTATTTGTCTTCCATAGCTCTGTCTTCTAGTGATGTGAGGTTTAATTCCTTCAGGCTTTCCTCATAACTTAATCTGTCTGGAAAGGGTGAGATGATTGGCCACCAATCTTTACCTGTTCACCATCAATAATTGGGAACCTGGTTGTAAGTCAATTGACATAGTGTTCGACAGAAAACTGTTAAGATAAAGCTCAATATAAACTGATAAGATGTTAGAAGTCATCTGCTCGTACAGTATTCTCATCTGGGCAAAAAAGAAAATAGTATCGAAGTGTCGGACAAAAATTTACAGATGCCTATACTATAATGCGGCTAAAATAGGTCGATATTACTGATACTGACACATGGTACACCTCTACTTTTTGTTCATAACCCATTTCCATTATGCATGATTTATCCAGATGATTGTCTATAATTCAGTAAGAGCTTAAGAGCTCATTCATTGTCCTTCTCTTATGCAATGTTTCTCCTCTTCTTTATCTGAACCATCATAAACTTCCAGTCTAGTTTGACATGTAAGTACTGTACAGTATTCATACCATCCTTCTCGGCTTACTTTCACACTACCGAGTGACTTAGCATACAGTATATTACTTTTTACTTTCCTCTAAAAATTATCATAATGCTTATAATATTGTACATTTCTTTTAATTAAATTTGTTTAGTTATTTGTAAGTTCGATATTTATAGTTTATACAGATAAGTGGCAGTACATTTTAACATTGACTGAATTAATACTTTTCCATTAACTATAGCCTTAAGAGCCATTTGCAACTAATTCTTGTCATTTTACTTTTAACTTAAAATTTTGGTATCAAAAATATGAAATATCTTTTCCAAATGCCTATACAGGATCTAAATTAATTTAAAAGTTTATTCTTTGTTTATTTAGTTGAACATAAAATAGTAAAAAATAATCGCAATGTGATGAAATGATGAATAAATATAGAAGCTGTGCGAGGGAATGGAACCCATGCCTCTAATTACGTGAGGTACATGCACCAGATATTTATTCATAAAACAGTATTGTTCTTGTCTGGACCAAAAAAAGTCAATTGCTTAATACCTCTTGCAACATTTTTATCGTTCATACATATTATCCTCTGTAGGAACACATTGAGATTTGAGTTTGTTTATAAGCTGGCCTGAGCTTATGGTTCCATTGAGTCATGGTAGACAGGCCATGCTTCTGAGCCAGTCATATCACACAGGTAGGAACATATACAGAGTCCAGGAGCACAGTTCCCAAAAATTCTAATTTTTTCTCTAGTTCTTTTATATTGTACTATAATTATGCCATTAGAAACCTATCTATGGTGGCCTTGACCTTCTCAATTTTAGATTCTATTCATTTTTCAGAGGGTAGGCACCCAAAGCATTTCTTGTACTGTAAATGTTGTCATTTTGTTTTATGATCACTGAAATTGTTTGTCTTGCTGTAACTGTTTTTTAATTTGAGCAATCTACCTGGCTAATACATTTCACATGTCATGGGCTATAGTGAGAATTGATCTCACCAACCCAAAACAACTGCCTAATAGCTCAAATTATGTGCTTGATTAATTAACTCATTTGTCATTCATCATTGTTTTGCACACTTGGTCTACTATTTCCAGAGTTAACACTGCTGCATTTATACTAGAGTACCATTTTTTGACCCTGGAATATATAGAAAAAAATATATATATAATATATATAGAAACATTGACCAATGTTGTCACAATATTGTAACTGATTTGTTAAAGATTTTTCCTGAGAATGTAAAACCAACCACTGGGCTGGACCGTAGAATGAGTTTCACTACATGCAGGTCGGGGTTCAATCCTCGACCATTAAAGTGGTTGGGCACCATTCCTTTATTCCCATTCCATCCCAAATCCTTATCCCTTCCAAGCTCAATATAGTTAATAGCTTGGCACTTTCTCCTGATAGTTCCCTTCCCTGAGAATGTATTTAATGGCAGCATTCGGTTAAAATTGTCACCATTTTATTGGGATTCTAGGGGATACCTTATTTTATTACCATGCTGTTAAACTGACAGTAAAACTTGGATATACTGTACTGTACTATACTTGCATATTAATTCATCCAAGATACTGAATATTATACACAACACTTACCATCCTATCATTTCTGCAAATTAGTCATGCAAAAGCATTTTGTATCATCTCTAGCATGTTGGCCATCTTTCTAATTTTGATGTTTTTTTTTTTAAATGCTCTAACATTTTTTTATACATTCTGCGTCGATTAGTTTGATCAACTGTTGCAAGCAGTTGTTTAATCCATCTTAAATAAAAAGGTTGTGTACTTGTTGCAGGTATCTGCACCCGATGTGGGGAAAAAGTAGTGGGCGAAGGGACTGGGTGCACTGCAATGGAACAGGTGTACCACATAAAGTGTTTTGTTTGCATTGTATGTCATCTCCAGTTGCAAGGAAAGCCTTTCTATGCACTTGATTCAAAGCCTTACTGTGAAGATTGCTACTTGGTGAGTACATGTGTAAACAGCCCCTAATATAAGGGCATCAGATGTCTGAATTTTTATTAACAATGTAAGTGATGTTTAATTCATAATGGTACTCATTTTCAACATGAAATACAGTATATTTATAAATCTTGACAGACTGCATTTTAAAATGGTTATACTCTAATACTAAAGTTTATTTAATATCAGTAGGAGGTGCATATTTTGAATAAATACTTTTACCTCATTTGAAATATCTGCCTTTACCCACCAAGATTACTTGGTTTTTTCCTTTATTATTTGGCAGTTTGTGATAAAATGCCATAATAACAGAACAAACACTAATTAAATATTGTTTCTTTGCAGAACACTTTGGAAAAGTGTTGTGTGTGCACCAAGCCCATCCTGGATCGAATTCTGCGTGCAACAGGAAAGCCCTACCATCCACAGTGCTTTACCTGTGTTGTGTGTAACAAGTCTCTTGATGGCATTCCATTCACAGTTGATGCTTCCAATCAGATTCACTGTATAGATGATTTCCATAAGTAAGTTTACTTTGTTGAAGAGAGCAGCAAGTGCTGGTGGTGATGTAGAAAAACATAAGCTGAGAGTAGAACTTTTCTAAGTATAAATTATCCTATAATCTATATTATTTATAAAATAAATTATCTTGAAATAAATGCTACTCTCAACTTTGTGTCTTGTGGTTCTGTGTAACATAATTATTTATTTACTGATGAAAATGGGTTTTGCTCTGAAATTTGTCTTAGTGTTGTATTCTATAAAGTTAATTTAATTAACTATTAATTTAATTTTTTTTTTTAAATTGTGATGACGTACTAATAAGACATGAATGTTTTATTCTTGAAACTCCTGAAACTCTTAAATGTACATAATTTAGATTTTTTTGTTTGTTTTCACCCCACTTTGTTATGGTAACTTAAAGGTCGGTGTAGATTATTTTGATACTATCAGTTAGAAATTGTATTATCGAGTCATTTTGGATAAACTTGTTTACAGAATTATCAGTGAAAACCAATGTAACTTTTCTAATAAATTGCAGAAAGTTTGCCCCTCGATGCACTGTGTGTACAGAACCCATCATGCCTGAACCAGGGAAAGATGAGACTGTCAGAGTGGTGGCACTTGATCGCTCATTCCATGTCAACTGCTACAAGTGTGAGGTACAGCATTGGTTTCATTCATGTTGCTTGGTCATCATTTTATTTATCACTGTTAATGTGATTAATTCATGTCCAAAAAGGATAACAATGTTAAGAGAATTGAAGAATAGAAACCATATAATAAATAAGGTAAGGTAAACCCCTAAAAAATAAGGCATTAAGAGAATCGAGTAACCAAAACATTTCTGAGTGGCTCCTTTCGGTAATGCCCCAAGCCAAATCCAAGCTCAGCCCAGTACACTGCTCACACCAAGCTACAGTGAAGATGTCCAAGGAACTTTTTAAATGTACACATACATAGGGAGGAGAGACAGTCGAGAGTAGCTCAGTTCTCCACCAGATTATTATGGCTCTCCAATTTCCTCCCTTCTTGATCGGCTGCAACCGAGTGCAGGATCATTTCCTAGTATTAGACAATATGTAAGGTGCTAAAGAGGGGAAACCAGAGGTGTACTTAGTGCAGCCACTTGGTGGTGGTCAGTGAGCAACCAATTTTGGTGGTCACCTTCAATGCCAAGTAAGGAGATGGAAAGGCTTTGAATTTTGAGTTAATATATCATATTGAGTTGGATTGTATATTCTCTAATGACTCTATAGTGTACATAATGACCCTGCAGGGACCATTTGAAAAGTTCCACGTGGTGCAAGTGTGTAGTCTAGCCTAACTATGCATGATCCCATCTAGGAACACCAGGTATTTATTTATGGAACAGAGGAGTTATCTGCTCAGGAACTTGCTTTTTGTAACTACACTACACCACACAAACACTTGTTTGTTTGCTTTTTGTATGTAGTCAGCCTTATATTAAAAAAATACAATCCTGTTTTGAAGAGATGTTCAGAATTGCAACAATGAAACATGTATAACGTTAAATGGGAACACTGAATGAACATATAGAAGATTGATTGTTGTTGAAACTAGTATGAGATGACGAGAGCAGCTCGGGTGATTGGTTGAAATGTGACTGCAATGACTATGATTGAATTGGTTTTTAGAGCAAGAATCAATGGAAGAGAAAATATGCACCGATTCTCTAACTGCAACTGTAGTAGGTGTTGATTGGCTGTATGGAGAAATTATTAAATAGTCAAGCAATATAATTGGAATGGTTGTGAAAAATTTGTTAGCTGGTCTGGCAAAATAGTGTCGCGTTAGATGACCACATATTGAATAACAGTACTGTATAGTGTTTACAGTAATGTTTATTATAGATACAAGAATCGGTCACCTTCTGTAACCTTAGGTGCATGGAACACTTAACAATTGAGAAAGTACCAAAAATAGCTGTAAAACATGTAATTGATTTAATGCGAGGTTTACAGTGTAAGGATTTATGTAGGTCAAATATTTGCAACAAGACAGCTAGATAAATGCCTGTTACAGCTTTTGCGGATCTGGATGAAGTATATGATGAACTAGAAGCATATTGAAGTGTTTTTATGAAGGAGGTATTAGATGCTTTGATGTTCATGTAAATGTAGGCATACATAAAGGTTGTGGAAATGTTGTTAATGCATTTAAAGAACAGTATTGAAGAGGGGCATAAGATAAGGGGCAAGATTTAAATATTTACAATATGGAGAGTTATAGGTAGCATTTGTTTTTGGAGACTAAGAAGCATTCACTGAAGGTGAACGGGGCACCTGACAGCACTTCAGATTCGTAGTCCTGAGGTTCCAGGTTCGATCCCCGGTGGAGACAGACACAAGTGGGCAAAATGTTTCTTTCACCCTGGTGTCCCTGTTCATCCAGCAGTAAATAGATACCTGGGAGTTTGACAGCTGCTACAGGTTGCTTCCTGGGGGTGTGTAACAAAAAGGTCTGGTCGAGTACCAGGCCGCAGGGACGCTAAGCCCCGAAATCATCTCAAGATCTCAAGAAGGTGGTGAAAATTGGAAATTTATTGAGTAGGAATTGGTCTTTTGCAGGAAATTTGAACTGGTGTTATAAATATTATAAGTGGTCATTACAGTATAAGAAGCACGTACTGTAAGTACTGTTATCATTATAAATATTTTCTGTAGTGATATTATTAGCATATACTGTAATGTAAGAATTGGTCTTTATAAGAAACTGAGGGTGTTTACTTCAGATAGATTGTGTATGGGGCAAATATGACCTGTAGTTTGATTCTTCAAGAAATGCATTCTTTTCTACATACCTACTTTTTGTGCCTTTCAAGGTTCATCGTCAATGGTCCAATTTCTGCATGTACAGTATATAAATTGCTAGCGAGACTAACAAATTTTAACTTGAGAAATGTGATTAAACTGTTGTACGTGCTAAACCCCTAATTTGTATTCTTCTAGGATTGTGGATTAGTGTTATCATCAGAGGCCGAGGGGCGAGGCTGCTACCCTCTGGATGGACACGTTCTATGCAAGAGTTGCAATGCTCGAAGAGTGCAGGCTATTACTTCAAAAGTCACCACAGATCTGTAGATCTTAAGACATTTATTTCACTGTACTGGCCATCAATTATTGCAATACTCATACTTTGTCATAGGTTCTTAGGATCCCATGCATGCCGTAATTATTACTTGCATTGTACTTACTGCATACTCTCACACTTTTAATGCTTACAGCTATACACATTTTGTATGATTGGCAGCACTTAACTAAGTATTGGTGTGATTGAATAAAGAACTAAATTAAATGGCAGTAAGTTCATTGAAAGTATGTTGTGATTTGTGAGCATATCCATGATAGAACTTATACTTTCAGTTTTAATACTTATCCACTTTGTACTCTATATACATATATATTATTGGATGATATAATATATTTAAATATAATACAAATATATGCAATTTCAATTATATTCTGCAATTTATTATTCACAAGTTTTTGATTTGCCAAAAATTACATAACCATAGTTAATAGTGAGTATTCCTGAATTTTAGATGTGTAACGGACTACAGAAATTTGCATCAATACTATAGTATTTGGTAATGAATGTATTTAATATAGTGAACTACAGGTATTTGCAAAAAAAAATTTTGTCACATGATTTAGAGGCAGAATAGATACAATACCTTTTTTGGGTAAAAACTATTTTCAGATATCCTACATAATCATTCCTTCTTATTCAGCTTTTATATATACAGGCATGAACACACATACAAGATAGTTCCTCAATATAATTTAGACAGTTTTGTGATTCAAAATCACTTTTTTTTTTCTTTTTTTTTTTTAGAATAATTATGCTTGGCTGCTTTTTAAGAATGTTTTGATATTGAAACATTTGTTTAGAACATTTGAAATTCTGCTGCCATTAATATCAAATTTATTATATTTAAATTGTCAGAATTTTTAAATGCGAGATTGAAATGGATATGCATTGAAGTCACAGGCTTCCTCTTTTCATATGTACATTATCAAATATGATAAGCTAATAGGGAAAGGGGCTGCCATAATATGCATTAGTGCTATTTGTGGATGAATTCTAATTGCTATAGGGTTTCTAAATATTTACTGAATGTAATTCATGCTTTAGCTAATATATGACTGTGAGGTGAAAATTCTCCTTTAGCAAGCCTTAATTTTGAGTACTGCAAAAAATTCATCAGACAAAATACTGTCCAGGACTAAAAATAAGCAAAGTGAAAAGTGAATAAAACTTTAGTGAAAAACTAATGGTGAATAACTAATTAGGAAATCTTTAGGCTATGTCCAATTGGAGTTAATCTGAAGCTCTTATTGGTATTTGATTGCTTTTCAGAATTAAGCAGGGTTTCCAGGTTTTGATGATTATTCTTATTTTTGTAGCATGTTTAATTAAACATACAGTATTAGTGCTAGAAAAGTATATGTAAATTACAGGTGCAATAATGGGAAAGAAAAGTACCCTTGTAACATTCATTTGGCTGCTTCAGAAGCACATAATCATCATTGTTTACAAATGGTACATTAAGTTACATGTCCATTTCATAGAAGATGAAAATTACTAACATTTCTGCTGGTACTATCAAATAGCGCAAGAGCTTTATATGATGTATATTTAAATTTGAATACCTTAACATGTAGTCAATTACTTTAAATAAATTTCTCTCAAATTTCAGAACTTTCATGTTTGAATATTGCAGTACTGTTTTTTTAATTAAATACATTAGTCATATTGCAAAACAGATTTCATCCACATATACAAGGTATTTCAGATAAGTAAAGGAAGCAGGTGCAGTTAGTTGGTAGCAAATGAGTTCACTTGATGCCATGTAAGGGAACGAAACATTTCTGGAAGAGTAAATTATATTTAACATGTGCCAGATTAGTGATCTATTATAAACCTTGAATGGTCCAAGATCACATTTATGTAAATAATAAATTTTAGGAATTTTTGATGTCACGTGTAACTAGCATAGTGTTGTGTATCTGCTGTAAACAGCACCATCAACACAATAATATTGGACATAGATGGCCAGATCTTTAACCCACCTCGTACACTATAAATTAATAAATGAAAGTAATTAAATAAATAAATAAATAAATAAATACTGAAGTTTGAAGCATTGTGTTGAAGGGATAATATTGTGGCCAACTGGGTCCTAGGTGTCCTGTCTTTGAACTCTTAAAGAAAAATTACTTTGTTCACAATGTTAGGGTATTAGGAACATGTAATTAAAAATTTAATGATTCAGCTTGTAAAGTATGTAATGAGATTTCAGTGTATTAACATGTAAGGCTGATGCTTAATGCATGTTCATCTGTACTGTAATTATTATAACTTTAAAATTACAAACAAGTTTTTTTTGTTACCACTTGGTGATATATATATCACTAATATATAATTACATACAGTATTCTGTTTAATAACTGGTTTGGTTATAACCCAATAAATCGTCTGCAAAAATCATAGTCCAAGCCCCATACTCTATACCCACCTGCTATAACCACCCAAAGTTAGTACAATATTTTTTTTTATAATTACAATATACCCACCTATACCTATAGTCAGTAAGTTAAAATATAGACTACTGTATCAAATTGTTTCAGCGAGTGTATAGACAGCATATTTAAGGAAATACAGTATGAAGCATATATATAAAAAAAATAAAAATATGTACTTGATAAAGTTTAAATACTGTAATACTATTTTGTAAACATAAATAGTAAACGGTCAATAATATATGTTCCACATGTTATGGACACCAAAATGTGATTTATCATGAAAACCTGGTCATTCTTGACTAATCCCACACTTTGGTATAACAGTATAATGTCATTGTCTGCATAAGTCACAATAACATGGCTGAAGATATGAAGACTAAACCACACACCAAAAGATGAAGAGATGATGACATTTCGGTCTGTCCTGGACCATTATTAAGTTGTGATGGGAGCGAGGGAGGCACGGGCATTAAGGCGAGAGAGGTGAGGCAAGAAGGAAATTCCTAGAGGAAGGTAAGAGCAAGGCAATAGGTATGGATGGGGTGGGTGTAATAAAGGGAGAATAATGGCTATTAGAATGGGAATGTAAGAATAAGAGAAAGAAAAGGAAAGAAAAAGGATGTGTAGGCTTTTGTTAGGTCATGTTTGTTAAAAAGGTTAAGAGCATTTGAGAATGTGCTGTGAAAGGGGAGTCAACAGCAACATGCAAAGTTCATGTTGGGTATGTTGTGTATCAGTCGAATCGACAAGACGGCGTCTGTGAGGAGTAGAGGCAAGAAAGATTTTAGAAGATCTATCAATAGGATGATTAGAACCCCCTAACATAGGGGGGTCAATATTCAGAACATTGTTTGTGTCTGCAGACTTAACACTTCTTTTGGGTTCTTTAAGTCTTGTCATTTATTATACGGTCAGTTTCCCCAAAGTATTGGAGACGACAAGACGAACAAGAAGTAGAGTAGACACCAGCAGCATTAGAAGCAGGAGCAGTGTAACTAGATTACTACGAAGTGTTACTTTGTCAAAAGGCAAGCTTTGTCAAGAGGTCGAAGGGTGTTAGTGAGATTTTTGAGTTTAGATATGAAGGGAGGGCAGAGCACGGTGGTACTAGTGTTGGAAACAGGTTTGGGATGAAAGAAATTTCATTTAGCTTGAAAATATGCAGAGTTGATAAAATGTAAGGGGTAACAAAGGTGAGAGAATGAGTTGTAAATAAAAGGAAATTTCAGAATCAAGAAACTGGGGGTCACTGATGCATAGAGCACAAAGGAAGAGAGGGACGAGGACACTTTTCTTTACAGGAGGAATCTAGGAAAAGAAGTGAATGTACATACCACTATGGACACAGCTGGACACAGAGCTGTGAACATGGACGTCAAGAAAAGGAAGGACATTAGATTCCCATTCAACTTTGAAATGGATGGAAGGAGCCAGATTGTTAAGAGAGGAGAGGAAAAGCTTGAAATGAGGCCATAAAGCAAAAATGTCACCAACATAGCGAAGCCAGAGAGCGGGACGAGTATCAATAGTGGGAAAAACAACGGTTTTGAAGTATTCCATATAGAGATTGGCAAGAACTGGGGAGAGAGAACCCATAGCAACACTGAAAACTTGAATCATTTTCCGTTGAAAGAGAACGAGTTATTCAACACAGTCTGAAGAGTTCAAAGAAAACGTCAGTGGGGAGCGGGAGATAAAGAAGGCCCTCGGCTGCCTTTTAACCATGGAAAGAGAGAACGTCATCAAGGGGAACATTAGTAAACAGTCGACATCAAGACTAAATATTTTACTGGAGGATTGCAGGTGCAGTCTTTCTAAGTCTTTAGAAAGATGGAGGTGGGCAGGAGAAAATGTGCGAAGATAAGGAGTCAGAGTTTTAGCAAGCCAGGAAGCAAGAGGATAGCCAACAAGAGCCCCTTGAAGAAATGATAGGACGAAGAAAGAGGAACACCAGGTCTTGGGTAGACCATAGAAATAAGAGAGAGAAGGGCAGACGACATGCAACTTACGATATTTGTTGATACACGGAGCGCATGGTTCCCGGTCGCGCAGGCCTACCTGCCTCAGGCCCTTCTACACCAGCAAACCCAGCTTTAAATCCTGCTTATGTTCCAGTGATAACATTGACAAATTCTATCAAAATAGCTTGTGTAATTGCTAAGAAAACACTTAATAATGTTTTTAAATGTATTTCCAAACGTCTATGAACAATAAGTTATTGTTTATTGGGTAATTTTTATCTTTTCAAACATTAACTACAATAAGTAATCCATTTATATGTGTGACGACACCGCTGCCACAGCATGAGTAGCTTAGACTAAATACTAAAATTTATAATAAAAAGTATTAAACAAAATGATAATAGATAATTACATTCAATATAAATAGAAATATAACTTTGGAGGCCATATTTTTCACCTAATCTAATTTAGGTGTGATTTTGCAGTACGAGATGTTAGGGAAAAGAGGCCGGGGAGGATTTACTGGGCGCAAATCTTTAACTGAAGTCTCTGTTTAACGCAACAGTAAAATGGGTTGCAATCAGCAAAAAGTAAAAACAGTAAAAAGGTTGTAACAGATCCCATGAACACCACACCAGAAACAAATACCTATTTGATATTCCAAGAGTACGACTTAGTCAAACTAGAAATGCTTTACAAATCAAGGGACCTCGAATGTGGAATGACCTTCCCAATTATGTTAATAATTAAAGACTGTACCTCTCCCAATGAGTTAAAGATAAAAACTAAGTGCTACCTAATTAACTCAATGTAACCTACCTCACCCCTAAATGTCAACCTATGTCAACGATTTTATACAATGCTGTTTGTTGACCAAATTGTATTTTTGCTTTTTTTCTGTCATGTTCCTCACTCCCCTTTTTTTCATTTTTTTCTTATTTTTTCTCGACACAATATATACTTTAATCTAAGTTAGTATTAAGTTTTAGTCTTAGTGTTTTTCCTGCCCGAAACGCTTTGCGTAATAGTGGCTTTAGGCATTGTATGTATTATAGCTCTATCTATAAATCCATCAACTTTTGTATCTTACCTTGTATGTATGTATTTACCTGAATAAATATTTGTATTTTGTATTTTTTGTAAACGCTACGCGTACTAGTGGCTGTACAAGAATGTAACAACTCTTGTATATCTCAAAAACAACAAAAAAAACAACGCGTTAACACATGAGCTAGTTGTGCTTGCGGGGGTTGAGCTCTGCTCTTTGGTCCCGCCTCTCAACTGTCAATCAACTGGTGTACAGGTACCTGAGCCTACTGGGCTCTATCATATCTACATTATAAACTGTGTATGGAGTCAGCCTCCACCACATCACTGCCTAATGCATTCCATTTATTAACTACTCTGACATTGAAAACAAAAATATTTCTAACGTCTCTGTGGCTCATCTGGATACTCAGTTTCCACCTGTGTCCCCTTGTTCGTGTCCCACCCGTGCTGAAGAGTTTGTCTTTGTCCACCCTGTCAATTCCCCTGAGAATTTTGTAGGTGGTTATCATGTCTCCCCTTACTCATCTGTTTTCCAGGGTTGTGAGGTTCAGCTTCCTTAGCCTTTCCTCGTAGCTCATTCCTCTCAGTTCCGGGACGAGCCTGGTGGCATACCTCTGATTAACTACATATGAGAGGATGTGCAGTGACTTAATATCTAACATATTCAGAGATTTCAGTAAGTGTACCGAGTGAGGTCTGGGGCCAGAGTTGGATATTGTCCTAATAGCAGCTTTGTGTTGAGTAATTAGAGGACGTAAATGATTTTGGGTAGTAGAACCCCAAGCACAAATACCATAGTTGAGATAAGGAGAGATGAGAGAGTAATAGCGTGTCACCAGGACAGGGCGAGGTACATAATATCTGATCTTAGAAAGAATGTCAAGAGTTTTTGAAACTTTTTTGATATATTTAGAATGTTGTCCCTGAAAATTCAGCTTTTGGTCAATAAGAACGCCAAGGAATTTGCCATCTACTTTGTTACAAACTTGGGTATTGTTTATCCTGAGATTTTGATTTGAGGATTTATTGCCAAACAAAATATAGATAATTTTGTCAATGTTGAGGGTGAGTTTGTTGGCAGTTAGCCAGATATGGACTTTATTTAGCTCAGTATTCACTGTGACATTTAGAGCAAGGGGGTCAGGACTGGAGTAAATGAAGGTCGTATCGTCAGCAAATAGAATTAGTTTGAGGTGTTGGGAGGCATTTGGAAGGTCATTAATGTAGATGAGAAAGAGGAGAGGGCCAAGTATGCTGCCGTGAGGAACACCAATGTTGATGGGTAGGGTGAGAGAAATTGAATTATTCACAGAAACATACTGGAGCCTGTCGGTAAGGTAAGACTTAAGGTTTTGCAGGGAGTGACCTCTGACTCCATAATGATGTAATTTAAGAAGAAGGTTTTGGTGGTTGACAGTGTCAAAAGCCTTACGCAGATCCACAAATAACCCAACTGGGAACTCATTTTTATCAAGAGCTGCATGTATCAAGTTAATCATACTAATAAGTGCATCGTAAGTGTTTTTTTGGGTCTGAAGCCATATTGACAAGAGCTAAGTATATTGTGTTTGGCTAGATAAGAGTAAAGCTGCTTGTAGATTAATTTTTCAAATATTTTTGACAAGTTTGGCAGAATTGATATAGATCTGAAGTTGTTGATATCAGTTAGATCACCACATTTGTGAACAGGGGTTACTCTCGTTTTTTTTTAGAATATCTGGAAAGGTTTGGAGTTCAAGTGACTTGTTGAAGAGCAATGCAATGGCAGGAGCTAAAGATCTGGAGGCTTTTTGGTAAATTAGAGTTGGTATCTCCTCAAGGGCACTAGACTTGGTTTTAAGGGAAAGGATTATCTCAGTAACATAAGTGGAATTAGTAGACATTAGGTACAGAAACTGTGGATAATTACCTGTAAGATAGTCCTGATAGTGGTACTGGAAGATGGAATATCATTTGCAAGGGATGATCCAATGGAAGAGAAGAACCTATTGAACTCAATAGCAGTGTCAGAGGCTGAAAGCAGACCATCGTTATTGGACAGGAGTATTGGTTTGTTATTTAAAATCTGCTTTTTGCATATATTCAAAAAAATATAAACATAAAAATTTGCATATTTTCGGTATAAAAAGTCGTAATTCAGGAAATATAGCCTGTAACCCAAGACTCCTGTGTGATTTTCACGATTTAAACAAGAAATATCATTTATGAATTGAAGTTAAAATCATCGAAATTGGTAATATATTGACATTTTTTCATGTTTTTCATGGTTTGTTAAAAAATAAAATTTGGGATGTGTTGTCAGCATTGTTAACGTTACTCCCGTCGTTTACTCGTGTATTTTCCTGATTTATATTTAAATAGATATGAAAATGTCTATCTGTTCAAGGTTGGAGGGGAAAGAGGAAGGGTGGGTTGATTGGGAAGATTGGGAGATGGTAGGGAGAAGGAGAAGGGGGAGCGAAAATCCGCCCATTTTTATAATTTGCTTTTTATATAAATAAATATGTCTATCTGTTCGAAGTTGGCGGGGAGGGGAGGAATATTATAGTGTGGGAGGAATAGGGGGAGTGTGGGGGAGAAAAGGGATAATGGGCTCTGAGGTAGATTGGAGGAAGGATTGTTAATTTAATGGAGGAGGGATTCGAACCCAGAATTCTCGATTGATTTTCTATCACTCATAAATTTCATATTTATAATTATTAAATGTAAAATAGAGCATAAGATGACATTTGTATTGGAGGAACATGTGGATTGTGGAGGGGGGTGTCTAGCTGGTGAGCCTGCTGCCGCCACCGGAGAGGAGCGAGTCTCTCACTCCACCACAACACTGATCATGGCGGACGCTGGCAAGATCGCCAAGGCTTTAGTCTGTGAATTTTTGAACGAAGAAGATAAGAAATTGGGTGTAACAGCATGCAAGAAACTCGGAGCTGTGAGTAGATGTTGTGTTTAGTGTGTGAGAGTGTAGATTAGAGAAGGTATTCCCAGGAAAGATGGTTGAGAGGGTGTTGTGCACTTGGGGAGACACGTGGGGAGGCTGGAGTGAACACCGAGCTGCCCCACCACCCACCACCGTAATATTTGTATACCAGTATCGTGGGCAGGAAGCTAGCTAGGCTTGCCCAAGTTAACCCCCTACGTGCGGTTACCCATCCAGTTACTGCCTAGACCCAAGGTTACTGAACATGGTGGCATGAGGTAGTGGACGTCGTCAGCTGATACACGAGGCTCCGGGGCTCAGTATGTGAGGCAAAACTGAAGCGTCTTGCGACATTTCTTATCACCTGATGTTTCTGTTCCAACGGTAAATAGGTATTTTAGGGTTAGACAGCTGTTGTGGGTTGCATCCTGAAGAAAAGTTCGTACTTGTCCTAGGGAGACTGATATGCTTAGCAGGCTTCAACTTCCTGACTATGGTATACTATGAGGGAAAAGTAATTAGTCAAAACTTGTGTGTATTATATGTCGCAAAACAAGATAGAAATATAAGCATCATTTTAAATATCTTGCCATAGGCATAGTTCAAACTAGCGAAGGTACGTGGTTTTCACAATCGAGGAGCTCCGACCCTCCACATATCGATTGACAGACAACTCTCAGAACAATGTTTATTTCACTTGAATATGTTAATAATCATAAATGTTTTAATTGCCTCAAGATAGATAGAAATATAAGCTTCATTTTAAGTCCTTTAGCAGACACACATTTAAAGCTCAAGTGAAGATACATGTTTTTATAATCCTGTTCAGTAACTTGTAGGTCATGGAGTACAGAAGCCTATGCATTGGCCGATGTAATTAATTTAAATTAACAAACGCTAATGAAGCCTAAAATATTATATGCCTTCAGAAAGATGGAGGTATATTCAATGTTGTCAGTGCATAACAGGAAATATATCTTACCGAGAAAAAAGATTCACCAGTTTTAGATTGAGTTTTCATAGCGACTCGCCCCATCTATTGGAGATTCGAGAAGCTACCCTAAGCCTTATAGCATTATGTCTGGATTGTTGACTTCCTATGTCATCACCTGCCACCTATTTAAGTATAATTTTGTTATAAAATTTGATTATTTTCCATTTAACCTGGTACCATTTTACTGTTGGGTAAACAGAGGCTACAGTTAAGGATTGGTGCCCAGTACATCTTCCCCGGCCAGGATACAAAACCAGGACAAAGTGCTCGTGAAATGCCAGACAAGTGTCTTACCACTGAAGGCTTAGGGTAACTTCTCGAATCTCCAATAGATGGGACGAGAGTCGTTTTGAAAACTATTTAAAACTGATGTATCTTTTTTCTCTGATAACACATGCATTTCCTGTTATGCACTAATATATCTGTCTTTCTGAAGGCATTTAATATGTTAGGCTTCATTAGCGTATGTTAATTACACTATATCGTCCAATGAGTAGGCTTCTGCAGTCGACAAGCTACTGGACACGATTCTAAAAACACATGCATCTTCACTTGAAATTTAAATGTCTATGGTAAAGGACTTAAAATGAGGCTTGCTATCTTTTTTGAGGTATATAAAACATTTACATGAAATAAACATTTTTCTGCGAGTTTCTCAGTCAGTAGATCTGTGCAGGGTCGAAGCTTTGCGATTATAAAAATACACATATCTTCGTTAGTTTGAAGTATGCCTATGGTAAGGTATTTAAAATGAAGCTTATATTTCTATCTTTTTTTTTTTGCTACACAAAACACTTGTTCTTAGATGAATATTGCAGGTTCCGAGATAGACGAGCGAGGAAAATTGCATCTGTTATACAACTACATGTATCTTCGGTTTTACTTAAAATGTTTTCCTGGTAGAGGTTTTACATGTAGATTATGTTTACATCTTTCTTCTGACAAATAAGTTAGGTTTATCAAGTTACCAAGATGTTTTCAAAAATTTTCTTAATGCGTTCATCCATTCCTGCATGGTTGCACATTTTTGTAATAAGATACATTTGTTGGCCCAACTGATACTTGGGTCAGCTTCCAATATATCAGACAGGTGCACCATACTGTAGAATTACATGGGAATTCAAACAGCAACAAACCATTATACCTATGCTAGTTTATTTATTGTCGCTTTGTTTTTATTCATGTGTAAATACTGAGTAGTTATTTGGAGCATACCTGGAGAGGGTTCCAAGAGTTCTACTTCCCTAGCCTATCCTGGGAGAAGGTTTGACATGATAATTTGGTCCAACAAGCTGTTGCTTGAAGTGGTCCACAAGCCCACATATCCACTACAACCCAGTTGGTCTGGCACTTCTTGCAGGAACCTATATAATTACTTTTAGTAGTCTATCTTTGTTCTAGCAATATTTCTTATGCTTGCTAGGAAAGCATTGAACAGCCATGGGCTAAAATGAATTTAACTTTTCTGACACTTCCACTGTGGTTCAGAAAATGCTTATGAACATATAGAGTATATAGAAATTTGAGTTCGCACACAACAGTAATACAAGTAATTTTATTATTTACATGTATAAATTGTGGCCATGTATACATTCATATTGTTCACTGGGTGCACAAGACCTATAAGAAAATTCTATTAATTTCTTCATCAGTGTCACTCATGTAATTAATAACGGTTTATGTTAAGCAGTATCAGTGTTGAAGTGGGAAACAAATTTAATTAAATAATTATACAGAAATACATATCGGTATAAAATGTTAGAAGAATCTTATTAGTAATAAATTAAAGTTGATAAATGATTTATCTTATTTAATTTCAGGGGGAGTTACCAAAGCTACCAGAAAATGCACCTTCGTTGGTTGATGTTATTCAGCATTATCTCAAGTAAGTTGATTGAGTACAGGTACTGTACTCATATACTCAGTATATGTGGGGGGGTTAATGATCTTATAGCAGTGAACTCGTTACCTTTTCTGGCCCATCATCCTGCCTGCTTTGTTCAAATGGTTTTTCATGTGTGATAATTGTTGTCACTTGATATGTGTTTGCTTATACACCTTCCTGGATGGGACTATTGGCCTGCTTCCACCTTACTGTATCAGCTTTGTCTTCAACTATGGCCAACTTAGAGGGAGGTGAACCACCTCTTTTTATAAGGAAGATTTTGAGGCACTGGTGATGTGGATTGGGGGAGTTAGTGAAAAATGGTTTTGTTAAAAATGAGTGGACATGGATATCAACATCACACTTTCAACCCTTGAGCTACACCACTGTTAATAGTTTAATACTCTCAGGTGCTCAAAAAAAATCTCCGTTAAAATGCAGGAAAATAAAAAAAATTGTATGCGACTTTGGCTGCGGTGAACCCCGAAAGTCTCGTAATTCACGAGTGATCATGCAGCGTTCGCCCCATGATGGACAGCCCAGCCCCACTATAGGGTGGGACTTGATGAAAATATTTAATATTAGTCTAAATATTTATTTAGAAAATATCTGAATATTTTTAGATATTTCAATGTCTGTTTTTTCCAGTAATATTATGCAATAGTGTGTAATTTGATAAATTTATACAATAAAATGTATACCACTGAAAACACACTTTTTCATATTACATTATACACACATCACATAACTTTGCATTTTCATGCCTCCATTACTAACCACTAGGCAGTTCTGGTGGGTGTAATAATAATGTAACTAGTTATCAGAGTTCAGCCTAGCTCTGCATGTTTTGTGTGAAATTGTAACTGCACTCATTGAAAATACTGTCTCCACTTGATCACACACACACACACACTTGCGCGCGTACAAAAAAAACAGGTGAGGTGATATGATATAAAATGTTTTGGGTGAGGTGGGTATGAAAACATAAGAATGAAAGTAACTGCAGAAGGCCTATTGGCCCATACATTCTTTTGCTGCTTCTATGTTGGTTCGGGGTCTTTTAAGTGGATAGAATATAGTTGTGTGTTAATTGGCTGTTGATTGCTGGTGTTGAGTTCTTGATGTGTAGTGCCTCGCTGGATGATTTCTGTGTTTAAGATTTCTCTGGTGATGGTCTGGTTGTGAGAAGAGATTATATGTTCTTTGATAGAGCCCTGTTGTTTATGCATTGTTAATCGCCTAGAAAGAGATGTTGTCTTGCCTTGTTCTTTGGGGCTAGCCCCAAAGAACTCGGTATATAGGCAAGAGTCTATCAGGCCCCTTCATTTTAATGCTGTGTTGAAGATTTATGGTTACATAGAATACTAAATTTAGTGATATGTATTTCAGAACTTCTCCAAATAAGCGTCGACTGAGTCTTGATATTCCACAGCCAAAAAAACAGCGTAAAGATGTATCCTCTTCTGAAGAAAGTTCAGGTACAGTTTTTCTTTTTATTATTATTATTATTTGCCTTCTAATATTATGTGTCCGTGTTCAGCGTTTTACTTGTCCTTATGTTCAGCTATTTAATATAATTTGTAATCCTCGAGTATTGTTTTCTTGTCCAATAAGTGGCCAGGATGGTGTTCGTGGTGCTGTTTTGGAGCAGGAATTCCCATAATTCATATTCCTTTTTAGATACCTTCACACAAGTGAAACTAGCACAAGTAGTATGCATGTACATATATACACATACTCCATATTTTCATAAACATATGTTAAACTATAATTGTTTTATACTATAGATTGTAAATAATTTTAATGGGGGTGGAAACATTGATATTCAGATTTCTGAGTACTGTACATGAATATATAGAAAAAGCTATTTATTGCCTGTACAATTTTCAAATAATGCACTGTGATTGAGTATGACTTGGTCATTTTAAATTCTGATTATAATTATTACAGAGGAGGAAGCAGTCAACAAGAAATCAGCCTCTGTTATGACAAATGGCAAAGGTAAGACAGCTAAGGGAATGGCAATCAAGGGAAAAGCAACACCAGGAAAGGCTACACCAGCCAAAGCAGCACCCAGCAAGGCACCAGAGCCAAGTGCTTCAGAAGATTCAGAGGAAGATTCTGACGATTCTGAACCCCCCAAGAAAAAACCTGCAGTAGCTCTTCAGTGTGTTTCAACACCCAAGGTTAGCAGTATTCGTTTTATTGAATGGCTTTAATTAGTGTGTATATTCCAGGTTTAAATAACAATGGGTGTATGACAAATAAACTTTTACTAGTATAGCACACACATGTTGAGCTGAGTCGAGTACTCAACAGTTGAGAGGCTGGAGCAAAGAGCCAAAGCTTAACCCCCGCAAGCACAACTACGTTAGTACACATACCCTCTTTAACCCTTGTACTGTGCTCAGAGATAGCTCAGTTGACTGGTGGTGCACTCAAAGAAAACTCGTTTGTAGATATAGGAAAACGTATGTGGGCCTGCAGGCTGCTCCAAGCTATAGCCTAGTGGATCAAACTCTCACAAGTCAAGCCTGGCCTCAGGCTGGGCTTGGGGAGTAGAGTATCTCCCAGAACCCCATCAACCAGGTATCAACCAGGTAAACAATTCCAAACTCCCATGGGTACATGGGGCTCGCGTCCTTTTTTTCAGGGCTTCGGTAAACAGACATATTAAAAAAAAAATCCATTCCTCCTGGCTTGGGTGTGAGAACCTCAGTACTGAGAGTGCAACCAAGGGTTGCACGTACACAAACAGCTCACATCACCGCTGTGCAGCTTTGGGGGGGGGGGCTGGTTCATCATCTCCTCTCATTCTTATTGGCCCCTTGACATATTGGCATAGAAAGTTTCTTGCTTGTCCATGTTACCATGGAGACACACACACACACACACACACACACACACACACACACATTAACTATTCTATAATATATAGGATAAACTATTCAACACTGGTGGTACGCGAACAAGGAGACACAGGTGGAAACTGAATACCCACATGAACCACAAGGACGTTAGAAGGAACTTTTTCAGTGTCAGAGTAGTTAACGGATGGAATGCATTAGGCAGTGATGTGGTGTAGGCTGACTCCATACACAGTTTCAAATGTAGATATATGATAGAGCCCAGTTGACTCAGGAATCTGTACACCAGTTGATTGACAGTTGAGAGGCGGGACCAGAGAGCCAAAGCTCAATCCCCGCAAGCACAAATAGGCGAGTACACACGAACGAGAGAGAAACTTTGGACAGGTTCTGGACTCGGATTTGCTTTTGTCATTGATGTGATGATTCCCACAATATCCCTGGGTGTATCAGAGAAGGTGACAAAAATATTATTCTCAAAATGGTTACATAATTAAATTAAATTTCCACGATAGTCTCGCACATCCTTCAGAATCTAGGGATATCTGTAAATACTACTACTACAGATATTTGGTTCAGAATACTACTGAAGCCAACTTGGTTTCAGTAGTAGCCTGATTAAATTCTTTCTGCTTGGCAAACTCCAACCTCTGCAACTTGCTCTTGAAGTTAAATTTTCAGTTGGACATGTCTTGTTTTTACTTTGTTTTATGTCCTGTTAACAAAATTGGTTTAATTGCTATCTAAGCAGTGTTTGCTTTATTCAAAAATTTCTCTGGCTGATTCATTTGGCAAATTCTGCCTTTTCATTGTCTGATAAGTTTTAGGGAAAGTTGAGCACATATTATAAACTTAACCCAAATCTTTTATAGAAATTTGTATTTATATGGCATTGATGACCTTACAGAATCATTAATGAATTATTTATCAATAAAGGATTCCACTTCTTTATTCCCACCCTCTCCCCATCTCATTGGTATTGGAAAGTATTTTGCTATTTAAATTAAATACTTAATTAATATTTGTTCTACTGGACAGAGTGCAACACTAAAGGCTGGCAAGAGTAGCAGCGAGGATTCCAGCTCTGAGGACGATGAAGTGCCACAAAAGTCACTAGTCAAAACAAGTAGGTTCAGATGCTAAACAGTTCTGGTATATGGTATTTGTATCTTAATATAACTGAAAATTGGATTCTGGTTTTAGTGGCAGCTTTTGTCTAAACTTTAGTGGTAGACATAATTAATATGCAAAGAATGAATGAAGCTGTAGCTTCATTCTACTTTGCTCTGATGAAGGCGAATTAGCCGAAAATACATTAAGCATTCTCTATTTTTTTCAAATGTGGTTTTCCTGCATACTTGGATCATTGTTTTTGTGATCGTTGTTGCATATACATACATATACATACAGTGGCACCTCGACTTACGATATTTGTTGATACACGTTCGGGTTGACTGAGCGCATGGTTCCCGGTCGCGCAGGCCGACCTGCCTCAGTTTACTAGAGCCACCCGCTTAGTGACGATCACACTTTTAAGAGTTTTTTTTTTTTTTTTTTTTGGCGATATATTTTGCCTTTTGAACATAAAACTGGTTATTATATATCATGCCATGGGTCCCAAGAAAGTCAGTGATAAGGTTCAACATATGAAAACACATGAGGATAACCATAGAGGCAGTACAGAATATCCTTTCCTCAAAAATTAAGAAAATGTGTGCAGCATGAAGAACTGTAAACTTTTGCTGAAACGACTCGCCCAAGTCAAGCTGCAGTAGGCCGTTGCCTTAATCTTTCAATGACACTGATGCATTACTACAGGCAAATGTTAAAACGAAGGGAAAAAAGTGTCGCTTGACAAATTTTTAGTGAGAAACTAGCAGTGAACCACAGCCAGGTCCTAGTGGTATGTAGGCAAAACGTAGGAGTGTGTGTACCCCAGAGAAATCATCACATGCCTGATGTTATAATGGAAGGGGACTCCCCTTCCAAACGGTAACACCTCTCCTCCTCCCCCCCTCATCACCATCTTCCATACACCATCAAGAGTTTTGTCCTCCATAAAGGTAAGATAAACATATGTACTGTATTGTAGTTAGAGAAAAAAAATTTATTCAGTATAAAATGTATTTTTAAGTTAATATTTTTTTGGGGTGTGGAATAGATTAATTCAATTTCCTTTATTTCTTATGGGGAAAAATTGTTTCGACTTACAATACGTCTCTGGGAACAGATTACTATCGTAAATCGAGGCCCCACTGTATACTTTATATAAGTGATAAAGCCCTAATCTGGTCCCTAATCATAAAAACAACCTAAAGAGACAAAGAAAATAGTTTGAAATCTGTGAAAAAAACAGCCAAATAAAATTCAAAGTACAGTACAACCTCGATTCAACGTACGATATGGGACCAACGATATATGTTCCAAAATCCTTATTTCCACAAATTCCTATCTCTAACTTATAAAGAAAAGGGAAAGCACCGCTATAAATATCTATAATACTGCACTTATAGTATTTGTTGGGGACACTCCTCGACACTGGTCTTGTTCTCACTGCCTCTCTTCTCCCAAGTGACCGATAGGGGCTTGCACATGTCCCTGCCTGCCTGGTTCCCATAATGTCTCATCCCTATACATGTCATACACATTTCCCAATACTTCATTTATATGTCTTATAATGTTACAGGCTGTTTTTCTACATTTAACACTGTTGTTTCTCTATATTTTCCTGCGTTGAATCTGCTTTTTATTTTTAGCCAATTTATCCCTTTTGTTTACATTGGTTTTTAGGAGATTACATTTTCCTGTTGAGATGATGCTCTGTGCATCTGAAAGGGGTCAGAGTTCAACTGTTTTTCAACATTTAACACTGCTATTTCTCCCTACTCAAGGGTCTCTCTTACAACTGAGATTTGACTGTTAAGCTAAACAAAAAGCTCTGCAATATTCTTACTATGTAAGAATACAGGATGTAAAATCCCTCTATTTAAAACCATGAATCTTCTAAGATTTGAAGAATTGATGGTACACTACTGTATATTACTAAAGTATTGTTTTTGTTATGTTTCAGCCAATGCAAAGGTAACCACAAATACCTCAAAAAAAGGTACAAAAAAGTCTGCAGTAAAACCAGCAGAGAGTAGCTCTGAAGACTCCAGTTCAGATGAGGATGAAACAAAAAAGCCTTCAATCAAGACCCCTGCTATTCCTTCACAAAAGCCAGCTGCTGGACCAGTGGCAAAAGCTGCCAAGAAACCCTCAGAGTCCAGTTCTGAGGAATCCAGTTCAGACGATGAACCTGCTAAGCCAGTAAAAAAGGTTTCTGTTCAATTACAGAAACCAGTACCAGCTGCCAAGAAACCTAAAGAATCTAGTTCAGAGGAGTCAAGTTCAGAAGATGAACCTGCAAAGCCAGTCAGTAAGAAACAAGTCCCAACTCAAACACCAGCAGCCACAAAGAAAGAAGAATCAAGTTCTGAAGAATCAAGCTCAGAGGAGGAACCACCAAAGCCAACTGTTAAAAAAGCTGTTGTACCTCAAAAGCCAGCAGCTGTCAAGAAAGAGGAATCAAGTTCAGAAGATTCAAGTTCAGAGGAGGATGAACCTACAAAACCTATTGCCAAAAAGCTTGCTGCAACACAAAAATCTATTGCTAAAAAGGCAGCAGAGTCCAGTTCAGAGGAATCTAGTTCTGAGGAGCCTTCAAAACCAGTAAAGAAAATGGCTGTGCCTGTTAAAAAGCCAATGACTAAGACTGCTGCAAAGCCCAATGAATCCAGCTCTGAGGAATCAAGTTCAGAGGAGGAAGAACCTCCAAAGGCAGCAGTAAAAGTTGTCAAACCTAAAAAGACAGACTCTAGTTCTGAAGAAAGTGATAGCTCTGATGATGCTATCACTAAGCCTGCAGCTAAGGGTACAAAAGTTCAAGTTAAACCCCCTGCCAAGCAGGAAAGTAGTTCTGAAGAATCGAGTGAAGATAGCCATGAAGACTCTGCTAAGTCACAAGTTAAAACTGTTGCTAAAGCTCCAGGTAAACCTGCAGCTGCTAAAGAGAGCAGTTCAGAAGATTCTAGTGAAGAGAGTTCAGAGGGCCCTGCAACCAAAGGTAAAAATAAAGCTCCACCAAAAGTTACAAAGAAGAAATCTAGTTCTGAAGACTCTAGTAGTGAAGACGAAGAAGATGGGAATGTAAATTTATCACTTTCCAAGACACCCAATGGCACAGCCAGCAAGGTAATTGTGTGGATTATTTCATAGAATGTAAATAATTAATAGCAAGACCAGTTTAAGATTCTGCTCAGACATTGAATATGTATTAAAATCATACTATTAGGTAAAGTTGCTGGACAGCTAATTAAGAATATTACTATTCATAGCAAACTAACAAAAAACTCGCTTTGTTAAATTAATGGTTTGCATTAAAATATCAGGCATGCTATAAATTGTCAATAATGGAAGCTGTGCATGCAACCATTATGTAGGCATATATGGGGTAACTCATTCGAACAAACTATTGGGGCAAGGTTGATTCTTTATATGGGGGATTATGTTAGGAGCATCAGGCATTTTCTTCCAATGCCTCATCCTTATGATTGGATTTTTTTTAAGAGGGTAAAACCCACTGTAATGCCTATACATGCTTGTTGTTTAGTTGTATCAATATGGTAGTGTAATGAAATATCTTCATGATAACAAATTAGGTAAGTACAAATCTACTTTAACCCCTGGGAGGCACTTGTGATGGCATAGCCTGCAACACGCCTAGGTACAAGAAATTAAAAAAAAAATTCTTATAAGTGTTCATTTGTGTTCCCTAATCACAGGAAAAATAATAATAAAAAATTGGGGCTGATAAACCAAGTGTCCTGTGCTGTCAGGTGGGAGTTGTCACAAAGATATTACCTCATTATTTCAATGTCTGATTTTTTTTGGCAGTAATATTATTCATTAGTGTGTAGTGTGATATATTTATATAATGAAATGTGTGAACCACCACTATGCTCAAAAGTATGGTGAGCATATTAGTGATTCAGTTATAAACAATAAACATAGTTTTGCTGTTATTACACTGTACACACGCTATATACAAGTATCTGCATGTTTCGTTCACCACAGCGAACCACTAAGTTGGTATGGCGAGTCCACACATCAAGGCTCTAGACGGCATTAAGTGTAGTTGGTGGACAAAGATTGGGAGACTAGAACATTGCATTCTATGCTGAAAATTAAGCCACTCAGAGATGAATCTAAATGTACATTGCATGAAATTGCAGATCATTTTATCGCAATTATCTGAAATTCTTTCCTTTTACATGTTTTGCTTCTAGTAGATGAAGGGTTGTTGTATTAATTATTTATAATAGTACAGTACTAAAGTTTATGTATAGAATACTAAATATTCTTACCATTTCAGAGCCCATTTAATAATTCTATGAATAATTCATGGAATGGTTCCATGAATTCAACATACACAACACCAGGTGGAACTAAAAAAGTAAGTTATGTTATGTAGTGATGAAAATAATAAATGTTTTGGCAAACTTCCAACTTAGTAATTTACTTTTTTTTTTCTTTGTTTTTCTGAACAGAAAGAACCATATAGAAGAGTACGCGCTGAAGAAGTGGAAGTCGACTCCAAGTTTAACAATTCTTTCGAAGCAAAGGTAATGATTGTGTCTGCCCATTCTATTTGCATTCTCTTTCTTTTTATAGGATGATGATGAAGAGGAGGATGGTGAAGCTGACACCAATGAAAAACCATTCCGGGCTGGCCTGGGCTTCAAAGGAAAAGATGACTCCCGGGGAGGATTTGGAGGCTTTAGGGGTGGCAGGGGAAAATCTTTTGGAGATCGTGATGATGGTGACGGAAACTCAAGAGGTGGTTTCAGAGGTGGGCGGGGGGGATTCCGTAGAGATGGTGATAGGGATGGAGGATTCAGGGGTAGAGGTTTCAGGGGAAATAGAGGTGGTTTTAGAGGAGGAAGGGGGGGATTCAATAACAGTGAAGAAAATGGCGAAGGTGGCGGGAGACGTTTCTCATCTGGCGGCCATGATGATTTTAAAAATGAGGGTGGTGATGATCAAAAGAGTTTTTCCCCCCGTGGTCGTGGGGGATTTGGTGGTGGGTTCAGAGGTGGCTTTAGGGGTGGTGATAGAGGGGGCTTTAGGGGTGGAGATAGAGGGGGCTTTAGGGGTGGGGATAGAGGAGGGTTTAGGGGTGGGGATAGAGGAGGTTTTAGGGGTGGAGATAGAGGAGGCTTTAGGGGAGGACGAGGCAGGGATGGGGACTCTTCAAGAGGTAGGGGTGGATTTAGGGGAGGTTTTGGAAAGAGCCCAGGCCTCGGCATGGATGGTGCTGGTGAAAACAAGAAGATAACTTTTGATGACTAGACTGCAACACCTTGACACAGGGCAAGAAAATAGTAAGTTGGACTATTTCTGTAAGTGATTATACTGTATAATTAAAATTTATATCATTGGGAATGTATTTTGTTCCTTCAGCTCCTTTCACATTAGAAAACTTCAGTGGCTGATCATTTCACAACAATATCCAACTGACTTTATTTTGTCTTGTGGGGGTGGTAATTTATTTTGTTTGCTAGTGTAATTTTATATCACCCAGCAGTTTTTTTTTTTTTCCGTGCTTAGTTGATGTCCGAAGAATGCCAATAGGCAACTTAAAAACTTTTAAGACTTTTGTATAGTGGTGGAAGTTGTTGTTGTTGTTAAGATTCGCTACCTGGAACAAAGTTCCAAGTAGCACGGGCTATGGTGAGCCCGTAGTGCCTTTTTTTGTGGTGGAAGGAAGATTTGTTGTGATTGGGTCCTTTAGCATCAAAATTTTCATCATTGTTAACTTCATTAGTTTATTGTTGGTTTAAAATTTATTGTGATTGCAGTGGTTGAAAGTAAATGCTACTTGAGAATTTGTTTACAATTTTAAGGTATTTTATTTTGTGTTAAATTAAGTTTCCTTTCATAAAGTGACCAGAAGGTTGAAAACAATCAGGAAGATAACTGGAGCACATGAAGAGAATAAACTATAATGGAGACAGCGTGTATTTAGAAAGGTCATTGTACCTGATAATTGGTTCTACAAATGGCATTAAGATATGGCAGAAAGTTTATTACTTTTTATGATTACTTATTTAGTATTTTATTTTATTTAGTATTGGATTACTTCTTTCTAAAATTGCAGTGAGGATGTAGATACTGGAAGATACTAAAGTTACTGCTAAGAGTTCAATCCCTATAAATATAAAGGGTTTACTTGTGTACATTTTCATCTGGATGATATAATGCTGGCTTTTGATTTTGAGAATATTTCTTTGCAATTTTGCTGACCAAAATGTTTCCAACTTCCACTCCTGCCTCATTCTGTTGGTTCTTACCCAAGAAAATACCTTTTTCACCTCAATATGTTGTACACAGATGTTCTAATGTCATTAAATTTTATCATGTTCTTATTATTTTGCCAGTTATCTGGTACTAGTCTCAACATAGCATGGGACCATTTTCTTATTGTGCTTTATTTGACATTGATTTCATGCTGGAGCTGGATATTTTAATACTGGCTTAATAAAGTGTGCATAATCTCAAAAATACCATGATTAAATTCTTAAATTAAAGAGTACCATTGTCTTAGTTTTGCATAAGCTGCATGATTGTTTTTGTGTACCTCCAGTGTTAAGGCTGGTGCTAAAAGAGCGAAGAGAAATCGATGGGGTGCACAATGCATGTCTTATAAAAACAAAATGAGAGGGTCATTGTCAATTGTTGTAATACAATGTTTTTTTTATCTTATGTAAGGTATAATCACTTAAGTCTTGGCCTGGCTTGGTGCCGTCTTTTGATAATTACTTGTTTTATCATAGTTTGTAGTTACATGATAATGACCAAAAAATGCCATTTATTCATTTGAATAGGACTGTAAGTGCTTAGTCTAATTAATTATATATATATATATATATATATATATATATATATATATATATATATATATATATATATATATATATATATATATATATATATATATATATATAATTGTATAATTACACTACCCTAAACACCTTTGCTGTATTTAATTAAATGAAATTTTCTTCAGCGTGGTGCAAGAGGATCATGGGGTGAGCGCGCATACAAAGATCTCAAAGTGACTCGAGGGAAGGTCTTCCGGCATGAGAAGAACAAAAAGAAGAAGGGATCTTATAGAGGTGGCTCATTGGATTTTGGCGTTAATTCTGTTAAGTTTGACTCTGATTAATTATGAGTTCAATTTGTTTAATGTGATCTAAAACATTACAGTATTTGAAAATTTGCTGTTTAAGAGTAATGGTGGTATTGAAGTGAATGCTACATAATGTAAACCAGGTTTTGGGCACATTTGTGTCTGTGATAAATATAATTGAACTATGGGTATATAGCAGAGTTGTGTAATAGATATGCAACTGAGGAAGGCTATGTACATTGCGTGCTTTTATAGGTTGGAACTTTGGTACAGTAATAAGACGTGGTTATCATTTGTGTAAGGATGACTTTCCTTCCAGTTGCTATGCCCCAAAAACCTCAGGGTTTACATTTTAGATAGTAGTGATCCATAATGACTAATTAGAGAATAATTGTTTTACATAGTTTTTTTCGTTCATATAGGAAGTTTTATCAAAACTTTTTGTAAATTGTAGTGTTAATGGCTCTTCCAGAAGGGATGATAATACAAGCAAAATAGTCAGTCTCAGTTGGTTACATATTAATTGACCACAAAACCCCAGAACAGGATAGTGTTAGGAACTTTTAAAATTTCCTTGAATTGAGGCAATATTTAATGTTAAAATAGCATTAGCTTTCCTGAATATGCTAAAGTAGATAATACAAAAGTAAGAATACAGCAAAATGACTGGGGGTCACCAATACAACTTCTCACACTTGCTATGTATGATAGTTTGTTTTAAATACCGTTGCAGCTGGAAACATTCATATGACATATTTGGTGAGATGTTAAGAAATTAATTGGAATGAGCCATGTTCTAGTACCACTGTTCACATGACTTGATAGACTTGTCAGTGTATCATTTAATGTTAAGTACCCATAGTGGCTGGCTGTGTGCTTGTGTACGTTTTATTTAGACTGGAAAAGATGTGCACTGTATTTTTTCTTATACAGAATGAACATTGTGTATGATTGTTATACAGCATGTATGAAAGGATTATTGTTGAAATACATTAAAAAGGTATTTTTTAATAAATAAATTTTATTTACCAAATCCAATATAATTGTATGTTGAGAATTGTCATTGGATGACATTAAAATGCTTGTGAACTTGGCCATGCCAGATTGGAAAGTGTGACTGTTCATGAAAAGTACAATTGATAAAATTTGCTAGGAAGCTTGTCAGTGTTATACTTTTTTAGAAAGTAGGCATTTCAATACTCAAGTTTACTATATTTTCATATGTTGTATAATTGCATTTAATTTACCCGTCCCCCCCCACTTGGTAATTTTTTAATCAAATGTATCCTAATTCTAGAAATACATTTACTCCCATATATACAAAAAACACAGTATTTAAACATTGCATCCCCCCCCATTAGTTCATCTAAGCTGCAGAGCAATTTATTATGATAGAGAAAACTACAGAAAACCTTTCCTTGGGTTAAAACTATAGCTACCCACAAAATGCCCCTTAAGAGTAAGGGTCAAGCCTGGTCCCAGGCCAGGCTCTGGAGTATAAGAACTCTAAACCCTCTCTAGGTAGCACAGCATCTCCACATTTGCACTGTTAAATTTTGGTCCAGCAAAATATTGATGAAAGCCTTCTCACCCCATGCTTTACATTCACATGTACCACAATCCAGTTCATGTCTCCAAGAAAGTACATTTCAATGACATTATTTGCACTCTTAGTGTAGTAATCTGAATAAGACTACAAGAAATGACTATCTTCCAGAAGTGTCATGAGGCAATAGACAAGCTTGTCTTGGTTAAAAAGGAAATGCAAAGAGGAAACATGGTTTACAGATGTAAAGAAATCCAGTACAAGGGCATGGAGAAACTACAGGTATAACACAGGAAGTGGGGAAAATCATACCTCGAAAAAAGCAGATGTGATAGCACACAAAAAGAGGTCTATGAGAATAACTGGTAAAGCAGGATGGTGGATACTCAACAATTTTCTGTCGAACAGAACACGGTAACAGTCAACCATATAAAATAGTCCAAGCACAGTTAAAAGCTCTGTAACTCGGGGTACAGTTCTTGCACCACTGCTTTTCCTTAATTCTCATATCAGATATAGACAAAAATACAAGCCACAGCTTCGTACCATCCTTTGCAGATCTGCTGAAAACATTTAAAAACTACAAGCAGATATTTAAAGTTTTCAACTGGGCAGAAGGAAGTAACGATGTTTAACAGTGATAAATTCCAGGTACGATAAAGATGAAGACATTAACCATAATACTTTCGGACATCATCTGTTTTGACGCCCAGGTGTTTGAGGAGACACACATTCACCCCGAGAACTGTGGTACCCAACATTTCGAGCTAGGGGACACCTTTAATGTTGATCCTTGCCTTCGTTGCTGAACCCGATCTCGACGGACTGATGGTTCTTAAGGTGGCAATTGTGGGGCGTATACTCACGATGCGCTCCGTCTTGCTGGGTGTCCATGTACGTGTGTGTATACTTGCCTATTTGTGCTTGCGGGGGTTGAGGTCTGGCTCTGGTCTCGCCTCTCAACCGTCAATCAACAGGTGTACAGGTTCCTGAGCCTATTGGGCTCTATTTTTTATATATATATTATATATTATAAAAATTCAATTATTTTTAATGAACTGTACATGCTATCATTTATAATTTTAATACTAATATAATAGCTTAATTTCCAACAAGGCAGATTAAGTATTACATAATGGTCAGTTACAGTGCATAACTTAAGAATTCAGGTAACAGCAGTTAGCTGTTAATAATATGATTAATGACCATTAATAAATATAACTCCTAGAGTGAAAGACACCAGTGGCTTTAATGTGAAGCAGCATCAACCCTACAGAACTGATACATATGTTTCCAAATAGAGTTCTGATCATTGTTAAAGCAACAAATTATTGAATCAGTAGTCTAAAGTTTAAGTGTTCTAACAATTTATATGAAGGTAGAATACTAGTACCAGTATGTATGAATAGGTTATCTCTTTCACAAGCACTCAGATTTCTCAACCATATAATTGATATATGGCACCATATTGGGGTGCCATGGGCACAATCAGAGAACACTGTATAAACACCAGAGGTTCACAGTTGTTCAACATCCTACCAGCAAGCATAAGAAATATTGCCGGAACAACTGTGGACATCTTTAAGATAAAACTAGATCACTTTCTTTAAGGAGTGCAGGACCAACCGGGCTGTGGTGGATATGTGGGTCTGCAGGCTGTTGCTTGGAACAGCCTAGTGGACCAAGCTCAAGTAAAGCCTGGCCTCGGGCCGGGCTTGGGGAGTAGAAGAACTCCCAGAACCCCATCAACCAGGTATCATAAAAGGAAAATAATTTTGGTCAGCAAGGACTATTAATCACACTTTTTCACTTAAGAATTTACATACTAAGCATATATGACCAAACTCTTCTCGACTAATAGCAGATGGGATGTAGAGAAAGTATACAAGTCCACTATGGGCTCACTATAGCCCGTGCTACTTCAAACATTTGTTCAGAGTAGCTGAATCTATAACAAATGTAGAGAAAGTGCATGAACCTTCTCAAAACTACCCAAGATGTATTTGGGTACCCTATAAATTTCATCACAGGCTCGTCGCCCATGCATGAAGTTCCCAGAGGCGGTCACGCGGGCCATTTAAGCACCGCGAGTTGCCACAAATATATTTTTAATTATTTGTTCTATGTATTTCCAATGCGTTTTTTTTTTTTTTTTTTTTTTTTTTTTTTATTGTATATGATGCATATTTGTATCCTTTACAATATGTACACAGTAGAACGTTTGTAATATTCCAGGGAACTGTGATATACATCAGTAACGTGTCCACAATGTTTCTTGGCGCAATATTACTCGTTCAAAATTCACTAAAATTACAATATGTAGTTTCACACACTATTTACACAGTAACACTCAGTATTTCGGACGAGTGATAATCAATGAAGCAGTCCACGGTACACAGTGCGACTCTGCTCTCGTTGCTCCAGGTACAAACAGATTTTAGTTTCCTGTTTCTTCGTTCTGTGTGCTTGTAAATAACACACTTGTATGTTATTACATTAGTATATATATATATACTATATAAATACACTCCAGGGTCACAAATGTAACGTACAGTTATGTTACATTGTTGGGTAGATTAGATACATAGTGTTTAGTGGGTTTCATATTTATTTAGCCTTGATTACAGTAGTCAGTTGTTGGCATTATCGTAGATGTTGAGATGGAGCTTGGAGCAGAGCAGAGCCCAGTGAGACCGGAGTCGCCGAGCTTGATGCGGGAGTGTGGCGGTTCGATGGGGAATCTTGAGTGTCTAAACTCAATGGGAAATAAGAGCGTTGTAGCTCAATGCAGTCGTAGGAAGCCTGCTTGACGACCGGGCCGCGGGGACGCTAAGCCCCGTAAACACCTAAAGGTATGTTCACCCTTGGCTTTAGTACCTGTAGGTGGTATGTAGCCAAGCTTGTGAAGTGTAAGGTAGTCTTGAAAAGATTAGGGAAAAGATCGCTTGCAAAATGAACCTGTTAACATTTTACAAAATTTTGCTAGAAATTACCCACTTAATATTATCTGTTAGATTAAGGACCTGCCCGAAACACTGAGCATGCTAGTGGCTTTAAAAGAATGTAAACACATCATGCTGTGTACTTGTATAAATGCAATGTACCTTCGTGTGGTACGAGAAGATAATATTAGTGTTCAGCGAGAAACCATAAGGTCTTCTCTGAATACTTTTTATTTTCTTCTCCAAGGCTAAGGGTCCCCACATTGACACCAGAGGTGGTACCCTCACAAAATTTTTTATATACAGTATATTGTAGAGGGGTTTTAATATAAAAATTAAGATTAAATTTTATATATATAAAAAAAAAATTATTATATATATAAAATAAATAAAAATAAATTGTAAGGTATTCTGGAAGAGATTCAGCTATTCTTGAAAGATCTATGGAAAACACCACAACAGAAGCTGCTAACACTGTTCATCTATGCTACTTGTATCGGATACATCATCACTGAACCCAGAAAACGATTCTTCTATGTATCATCTATAAAAATTGGAGATGATAACGGGTGAGCATGAATGGTGCTCAGCTACTACTGGATATGCACTCTGTATCATCGTCATCGGTGCTGTATCACTTGCATCCAACCCTTGTATTAGGTCCTTACTGCACCTTATTGAATTTCACCGACAGAGCGATCTTTCAACACCACGTCGGATAGGCGTTTGGGAGCCAGAGGCACGTGAGCCACCCATGGTTGTTAAGTCGGTACTAAGCAAGCCAGCAGCCCTAGGACATTCCGAGATATTTTCCCAAGATGGTTGCCTCTCACTGGAGGTCCCATGAGCCCATTTCATACACAACCTACAGCGATTGCATTTGGAATTGGTACGAAATATTAAAAGAGTTTTCTCGGTTGGTGCAGCACAGTGGTTAAGGAGAACTGTGCAGTATGCATTATCTAGCAGCTAACCCTTCTTTACTTAAATTTAAATTAGCTAGTAGTAAATAAAAAAAAAAAGAGAGATTTTCAAAAACTTACGATATTTAAGTTTCTTTCACTGAAGGATCAAGCACAGTTTACAAACTTGGTGTAAAATAAAAAACAAATGTACCTCAATGATGCATATTGTACAAGCCTTTTTCTATTATTAATAATAAAAGAAAGCAATAAATGCTAATAGTGTCACCTGGCTGAATAGACTTAATGTTTGACCTTCATGAGGTGGTGATTTAGGTAATAACCTTGTCTCCTGCAGCCAGCAACTGTGAGGATGGACTCCCTTTAAAACCTTGCCAATCACCTTCATCCATTCCTAGTACCACTCTTAGCCTTGTCACAACAGGGATACCAACGTATTGTTGCACTAATGCCAGCATTACCAGTATTATCATTAAGGTCATTAATACTGCCACATGCACCAAACCTGTGGAAGAGAGGCAACTTGTTACTTCCTACTGATTTACAGTATAATATTCCAGTGTAACCTCTTACGTTTACTTAATAGTACATTTTAAAATTTACAAATGTAAAACTTCTCTTTTGTAATTGAGATAATATTGCCCTAAAATTGCTTGTACTCTGTCTGTCTGTCTGTCTCTGTGTGTGCATGTGTGCGCGCGCAAAAATTAGGTGTGCTTATCTTCATTTCATGTACACTGGGTCAGATCCAGGAAAAATAAGGACATACCAATTATTTGTAAGGTAGAGAAGGCTCCAGCTGAACATCCTGGATCTGGGAGAGCATAGGGAGCTGTAATGCTAGTGTTGAGGTAGAAAACTCCATGGGCACTGGAAAGTCATGAATATACATCATATCTTTCCTAAACTATTAATTAAGTACAGTATATTATTATCTCACTTAAAACTAAAAGTAGTAAGGCCCACACCAGAAACAAACATCTTATTTGATATTCAGAAATTACAAATTGACCAAAACAGAAATTATATGCAAATAAAGATTCCCAAGTTGTGGCATGACCTCAAATACAATAAAATGCTACATTTATCTCAATTTCAAAGAGAAAAATGCCTAAGTGACATCACGTAGGCATTTATATATTTGTCTCGCCAAGGAGCATAATTAAGATAATTTATATTTGCTGTTATTGAGAGTTAATTGCAAATGCACCGTTATAATAGGCAACACTAAAAGCTACAGATTCAAAAAGTGTAGGCTACTGTGTACGTGCTGGTAGGGGCTGGGGTGAACAACTAGGGATGCCACAACACCAGCTGAAATGCAGTACAAGGGTATTTGTCCGAGTATCCTGTACGGTTATTATCATGCCTCTAAGGATAGAATGTCACTATCACATTAGAAAACAATCCTTTGCTAAGATTTCTTTAATCATTTATCAAATCTATAAAGGAGAATGTCCATCTCGTGTAAGGTTGGAGGCCAGACACTTGTAGGTAACCTTGTCCAACTTTGCAAGATGTGGGGAATATGAGTGTCATAGGCCAATCAGAGTTGGCCCCAGTGTCACCCTTTAAGAAATATCGGCCTCTATCGCGACTCATTCCGATTTTCTTGAAGTCCAAAATTGGGGATGCATTTTCTGTACAGTTATTTATCTTTTTCAGTGCTTCATTCAAATTTTCCGAGGGGGGAGAGTTTTGTTAGCTATCCATGTATAAAGTAAAACTAAGTTTGTGACATCTTTTGAAACCATACTGATAATAGCTTAATAGAATGCACCTAGCTTACCAATGAATCATCCACTGGTCATGTATCATTTGTATGTACACTTGCATAAATAAAAACTATTATTATTATGACATCCTCTAATTTTATAATAAATTATTATTATTATTTATTATTATTAGAGGAAATCTGTAGGAGCTTTGATGAGGGATGCCCTAGTCAACTTGGCCATTACATGGTCATCGCATCACGGCTCCTACAGACTCTCTCATTGACACATCACATTAAGTGTGATTACTCTGTGTAGTAGTACATGTATTATTATTTTTATTATTATTATTATTATTTGGTAAACATTAAGAGCAAATGTACATATGTACATAATAAAGCAGTGTAGATTTTTCTAAACATGCAGAACAGCACTGCACAACAATACAACATACATGTCACTCACTTTGGGTTGACATTGAATCCCATATACTGTGAAGGATAACTGCATGGACAGATGCGGGTGTTGTACATTTTCCATGAATTACATGGCCGTGCAAGGAAATGAGTTGTAGATGCACTGTATATAATACTTTCTGTATACAGTACATAAGCCATTCCATGGTCACAGCTACTGCCATCTGTGTTGAAGAAATAAGACAAGGATATTGCCATAAATGCAGTATAATTATGGTGTACAGTACATATGGTTAAATTGGCTTTGAATCCCTGGTATTAAATAGTTGAGGGGACTAGGTTGGAGTAGTCTTCTCCCAAAATTTCTTCCCACTAACATGAAAATGATAACCTACACCCAGATGCACTTACATATGCATGTCTAACCTTCACTTTAAACAATCCAGCGATCCTACATCTTATATTACCCAGTAATATTTTATACAAGTAACTGACACCCCCTTTCCAAGTTAGTACTTACCCAGGTCTTTCCTGAATCTAAACTTATTCAATTTGTATCCATTGTTTCCTGTTAAATTGTGTCAGATATATTTCAAATCTTATTTATATCCTCTCTGTTATACCCGTTCTTCCATTTGTATACTTAATCATCTCGTCACTTGCTCTTTGATTTTCTAGACTATGTAAATTCAGTTTTTTTAATCTCTCTTCATAAAGAAGGTTTTTAAAGATATTTATGATAGATGTTCCCTTCAGGAATCTTAATTTTGAATATGAAAACCATTGATATAATAAACTATCTTGTTTCAGATTCTTTACTTTGTGGTTCTTTACAACCACACGGGGGTTTCTATAGGCCATTGCTCCTCATGCCTCTCTGAGGGAACCAGGTTCTGGCTTGTGGTCCCCGGTAGGCCCACAACTCCATACACATGACTGATGCCAAAGTCTGACATTAGCGTATCAGCCTGGATCGCTTCAGGGAGCCGATGGGGCTCCCCCCAGAAAAAAATATTGTAAGTGACATACTTTAGCCGCAATGGAGCTGGGAAGTTTAGCAAATTATGGGCGCTGAGCGATGGAGCGCTGGGGGTCAGTCAGCTCCGCCACCCCGTGGGGCGGCAGGTGCCGCGAATATAATGTTTCACAATTATTTTGACGTTTCTCATTTGTTTCTTCTGTTTTTTTTGTTTTTTTGCTGTAATATTATTCAAAAGTGTGGAATTTGTGGAATTTATATAGTTCAAAGTGTGGAACATCGCTATGCTCAAAATTATGGGGCTCATTTATGACATATATATTCTATGATCAATCAAACAGTATTTTTGTTGTTATTACACTATACACACACACAATGTATATACCCATCTACATATATGTTCACCATAATGAACCACTAAGTTTGTATGGAAAGCCCAAAAAACATGAGTGAGCTGCCACACCCAACCAGCCCTACCTCACTCTTCCAACACCCTATTTGCCAACATTCCTCCTCCCACCATACTGTTATTGTTTTTATTATACATAACGTGTGTAAATAGTGTAAGTATCTACACGTTTCATTCACCATAACTATACAACTTGGTATTGTTTCCAGACAGCACAGTGGCCACCATACACTGCTTGACAAGTCACACAGCAGATGACGCTATGAGTACGACGCCGCCACCTTCACCAAAATGGCTCATTCCAACATACTCCTGTTGCTGTTATTACACTATATACACACATTATATATAAGTACCTACATTTGTGTTCACCATAGCGAACCACCAAGTTAGTATGGCAAGTCCAAACAAGAGTGGCTGCCACACACAGTAATGCCACCTCAATTCCCTCCTTCACCAAAATTCCTCCTCCCACAATACTACGCACAGCGCTAATTATCACCACAATCCTGCTATTATCACAATCCTGGTCACTAAATCCTGTAAATGAATAATTGACCTCAAATTTATTTTGTAAAGGAACGCAAGTCATTTGAAGATTCCTAGATGGACGAAATAATGCTGTGGTGCTGTGGCTAGCGCTGTGAACATCTTGAACAGCATTGATTCACTAATATTTGAACATACATACATACATTTGTACACAATCACACTCAGGCTCTTCTGTAATACTATCATGGCTAAATAATACCAGTTACATATATATTTTGACATTATTAGGCGATGCTGTGGTCACAAGCTGAACAGCAGTGCTGCGAGCTCATGCTGCGTGCACCAGCCTTGGTTGCTCACTCAGTATGGAGGCTCTCACACCCGGGAATGTTGCCCATGATTTTTTTTAAAAAGGCGTCTGTTTACAAGAGCCCTAAGGAAGCTGATGTGAACCCCATGTAGCCACAGGAGTTTTGAATCATACGCTATACCTATAAGATCTCCGAGGCGTGTTCCACACTACCCATTGAGCACCTACAGGCGTGTTGTGCAGTGCAGTGGTTAAATGCGGTAAAAATTTAGAAGTAGCAGTACATGTGTAAAAGCATCCCCAATAACTCAATAAAAGTACACCGTAATACAAAATAAATAAACTAAGCATCTGAACCTACATCAGTTTGGCCATTAATAAGTTTTGTTGTAATAACTATCACTTCTCTTACTATGTTCACATGAGCACAATTCTTTGATTTTCATGTTAAACTAGAATGATGAATAACAGCATGCAACTGACCCTTGACAGCAGAAGGGCCGTCGCCACCCTCGGCACAAGCAGGCTGCCGCTCCCCACCATTGGGCCAGAAATCTGCATCACCCAGGTTTTCATCGATGCCATAGCAATCCTGAAAAAAAAAAATAAAATAAACTACTGTACTGAATTTGTTAATCTCACAGTTAATAATTAAAATATTTAGAAGACCATTAGCTTACTTGTATTTTAGTATTAAGTATTTTACCCCCCCCCCTCTCACACCTTTAGTTAAATTTTGTCTATTTTAAGTTTTGCCCGAAATGCTTTGTTTAATAGTGGCTTCACTGGTAAGTGTAACTCTTGTCCCTACAATTGTACATTAATCAAAAGAATGTATAAACATAAGAGTAAACAATAATAATAATAAATATTAATTTCACAAATCACAATAGCATGATACAATATATCAAATGAACAAAGGTTCGAACCTATGCTCTGGATGTTCCCTGACGCACTCTAGTCAACTGTACCACGACATGGAAAAGAATTGCAACCTGGAGTGCTACTGCCTCCACGAGGTTTCTTAGGCTTCCACTGAAGCCTAACCGGGGTTTTCACACAATTCCCACATGAACTCGGGTTCTGTCAATCAAATAGTTCTACCTCTGAATTCAATACACACAGAAACCACAATAACGTGATTTCTTTTGGAAGTTCTTTTCCATGTCGTGGTACAGTTGACTAGATCGTGTCTGGGAACATCCAGCTCATAGGTTTGAATCCTCATCAAGGCCCTTGGGGATTTGTTCATTTGATATACAGTATCACATTATTGTGATTTGTGTGTGTATTGAAGTAGGGGCATCAGAGGTAGAACTATTTGGTTGACAGAGCCCGAGTGCAGGGGGGGGGGGAATATGTGAAACCCCGGTTAGGCTTCGGTGGAAACCTCGGGATCCTCAGGGAGGATGTAGCACTCCAAGTTGCAATTCTTTTCCATGTCGTAATCCCAGTTGACTAGAGCACATCTGGGAACATCCATCGTACAGGTTCGAACCCTAATCAAGGCCCCTGTGGAATAAATAATTATCATTATTATTATTATTGCAGCAGTGTGGACTTCACCAACCAGTGTACTTAACTAATACAACTATGCTCAGTCTAGCTCATTTTTGAGCATTACTACAAAAAGTGTTGCTTGCACATCATTTGTCTGGTATGTTTATTGGGGTCCTTTATACCGAAGGTCGCCAACCTTTCTGAACTCATGGATCGATAAATTGGTAATTTTAAATCCTGCGGACCACTAATATGAATCTTTTAGTCTGTCCAAATAAGAAATTATAGTTACAACAAATTATTTGATGCCATTAAATATAATGGTTTAAGAAAATACAGTTACATACAATACACAAAATTGTCTCGCGGGCCACTGGCTGTCCGCGAACCACCAGTTGGCGGCCGCTGCTTTAGTTTATTAGTCCTACAACCATTATCAACTTTCTTACTGGTATTTTTAAACTATTAATTTACAATAGATGAATAAAATATGTTTGCAACAATGGTTTAAGAGATTTTTTTAAGATGTAATATTTAATTGTTAATATTCACAAAGGATAAAGAAGGAATGAAAATAGAGAACACTACCTCTTCCTATCTTTCCACAAGTGTCCCCCCTTTTCCCCATCAGAGGCAGCAGGCCCAATGTCTGCTTTAAGGAAAATGGAGAATATACAGGTTTCCATGCCCACCAAATATATGGGTGGCTAAGATGCAGGGTGTATTTCACTTGTACACTGTCACAGCAGGCAGGAGTTGGGAGCAGAAGCCACTCACACCCATCTGAGGGCAAAGGGCAGAGCACGCACACACACACACACACACACAAGGGGGCCTCGTAGCCTGGTGGATAGCGCGCAGGACTCGTAATTCTGTGGCGCGGGTTCAATTCCTGCAAGAGGCAGAAACAAATGGGCAAAGGCCTGCAAATGGGCAAAGTTCCTTTCACCCTAAGTGCCCCTGTTACCTAGCAGTAAATAGGTACCTGGGAGTTAGTCAGCTGTCACGGGCTGCTTCCTGGGGGGGGGGGTGTGGAGAAGAAAAAAAAAAAAAAAAAAATTAGTAAGTTAGTAGTTAGTAAACAGTTGATTGACAGTTGAGAGGCGGGCCGAAAGAGCAAAGCTCAACCCCCGCAAAAGCACAACTAGTAAACACACACACACACACAAACGTCAAGACAACACCCTTTAGGATGGGGGGGGGGGGCAAAGTAACCAACACTGAAACTTTCTAAGCATTATGATTTAGATAATGCTATATATAAATGATTTATGCATCACTGTAGCCTTACTATTGGTGAACTGCTACAGTCTGTAGCCGAGAAAATGGCATTAACCCTTAAGGTGTACAACACATCAATAGCTGTGGTGAGTAACTGTCACGGAAATGAGCACCACAGCTATTTATGTGTTGGAGTACCACACAAGATTTAAATGTCCCGTAGTTACACGTGGTTCATATCAGCTTCCTCAGGGATCTTGTAAACAGACGCTATTTAACCCTCAAACCGCTAGGGGTCCAAATGGCTTTAACACCCACAGGCGCAACACCAAAAAAATCCAAAAAATTTATCTTATCAAGAACAGCTGGTCCTACATAAAGGTAAGTGAATAAATAAATAGTTTGTATGCTTTTCATGCACAAGTTTTATTTATAGGTACTGAACATTCTATCAAAGTGGCTTTAATGCTTTAATATTTATCCAAACTTTTCTTCAGCTGTTACAGAGCTTAAAAGTTGCAACTGTGTATAAAATTTAAAACTACAAACCATATGTTTGCATTTAACTAACCGTCCACTGGCTAAGGAGAGTAGTACAGCCGTGAGTGTGGATGACATCTACAAAGGCAGCATCTGTTTTGTATAGACGATCAGCAGAATCAACCTGGTGGTACATGTGGCCAGCAGGGTCCAAACCTGTTGGCAAAAGGCAGTTTCATTGTACAGTAGCCCCCATATAGCCAGGAACTTTTTTTAACCTAATAATTACCCTATTTAATACATATGAAAGCAAGATCTTGTACTTAGAGATTGGCTAGCCCCGACCATTCACTCACGGTCATTCATGCAAGCATCCTCATAGGTGGCCTGGCAAATGGTCTTGCTTGTTACGATGTGAGAACACTATAGGATGACAGACTTTCCCGACAAGACCGTACTTGACAGGGCGGGGTACTCACAGGACGGCATATGTACACACACACTTGCAGGTAAAAGACAGATGCCCCAGTTTTCACTGCCATATGAGGTAAGGGTGGGACAGTTAGGTAGAGCAGTAGCAGCTATGTTCTCTAGACTGAGTAGCAGCAGCAAAGATATTATACCATGTAGGTACACTGTGGTAACGTCACACAGTTCACTTAGGCGGCGGCATTTTCCTTAGTTCACTCTAGACTACCGAGTCACTCACAGGGGAATCTCCATCTCACTTTGTCACCAGGTGTTACCTGATACCAGTTCGTTTCATTCTGATGATTTCAAAGACCTTTTGTCACTCTAAGGCTTCTAAACAATATAGTCAGTCGCGATTCTAGGCGAGTATACTGTATTGTATATATACTGGTATATTGGATAACTGCAGAGAATAACTTAAAGGATGGGTGGTGTGTTCTTATCTATTGGCCAATATATTAAAATCACACGTCTACCACGTACAACATCCCCCATGAGAATAACGGTGCAAGGGGTTGCAAGGACCTCCTTGAGGCACAACCGCCATACCTACGAACTGACCAACGGCATTGCAAAGCATGTGCTGGAACCAATGATATTGATCCTTACATGATGGGAAGAAGAGTGACGTCATGAACACGCCACGACTACGTCACAGCTGCTCATTGGGACGATTAAGACTGACCAAAGGTTGTGCTTATCTCCCACCTCGCTGGCGTCCCCTCTCTTCCCACACCTGGCACGTTACAACTCTGTACTCCCTGACTATTGCAACCTGCTTTATTCCCCTTTATCTAATTTCTCCTCTGGGCATACAGCAGCCTCCACATGATTTATATATTCCCTGGCATGTGGGTTTTCTGAGGACACCCAACATGACAGTTTTCCATCCAGGGGTAAAAGAGATGGGGGGGGCTTGTGCACAGCTAGGAGCACTGCAACAAGCCATTCAAGTCAGCTGTGGGAGAATCTTGAGACACCATACTCTCACAATGAGATCAGCCCTGTAACTACAATTAGGTAATTTCACACACACACACACACACACAAAATATATACTGTATGTGCAAAAACCGTCGTGGCAAACCCAAGCGTTCCAATGACAATTTTAAACTAGGAACACAAGTGACAAGATAGATATATCTATATATCTATAAAAAAATTATATATATATATATATATAAATATATATATATATAAATAATATATATATATAAATAATATATATATATATATATATATATATATATATATATATATATATATATATATATATATATATATATATATATATATATATATATATATATATATATATATATATATATATATATAAATATTATATGCATGCTCAAATTGTGTGTTCTTACCTGTAATTCTTGACAGTGTACCATTCATCTTTTTTCCAGCAAATCCTGCTGCATGAGCTCCTAGAGAATGTCCAATGATGTGTACAAGGTCTGGAGTCAAGCCTGCTGCATGCTGGAGAAATACAAGAAGCTTGCTAACGTCCTCTCCCACACTTGGCACCCGTACCCGTATCATATAGTATTCAGCAGTCAATGACCCTGCTGCCCAGTTGACACTAATCACATTACAGTCCTCACGACTCAGCAGAGCTGTGGATATAAAGTAAATAAATTCAGCATGAGGTACGTAATACCTTTTCTCAGCCATGGGCATCAATGTAGAGGAACAACGAATGTAAATCTACCAAAGATTTACCCCCAAAAATGTCAAAATAATACATTCATTTGTATTTTCTTCAATACAATAAACTAAAACTAAATTAAATCTCATATTAGGAAAGGTTTACTACAATTAAATTCATTATTACTGTATCTCACTCTGCCCTGATTACAGCATAATATTAACTAGTCTGTATCTTGCACAAGTTATCTGCACCTAGGGATCTTACAACTCAAAACAACCTCAGGCAATTACTCAACATTAATCAATTAGAACAATAACAGACTCCAACAGCAGGCAGCATGTAACACCATTACTAACATTTTTTAATATGCTTATTACAATATGCTCAAGTGCACACTACACCAATAAAACTCTACAGTGCAGTACAAATCCTGACCTCAAACTCCTCTTAGAGGACCAACAGAATCCATGGACACCACATGATAAACAAATACAATATACTGTACAGGTATATTTAATATTCAGAGTAATAGGAGGAATCATCTCAAATGAAAAAAAATGCTGCATTTGAGAGAAAAATACCAGATAACATATATAACGTACCTGTATCATATGGTCATTTACATAGCTGCTTCAATTAGCATGATTACTATTTTTTATAAGAATTTTGGTTCACTTATTGTATATATTAAGTACTAGGTACTGTAAGCACTGTTGCTTACAGCACTGTAGTTCACACTAACAATACAGATTCAAATAAAGTTTACTATACTTTATTTTTTATTTATTTATATATACAAGAGTTCTTACATTCTTGTAGAGCCACTAGCACGCATAGCATTTCGGGCAAGTCCTTAATCCTATCTTTCCCGGAATACTACCCTGCCAAATTGTTTAACCACCAGGTACCCATTTTACTGTTGGGTTAAACAGAGGCTACAGTTAAGGATTTCCGCCCAGTAAATTCTCCCTGGCCAGGATACGAATCCAGGACAAAGCGCTCGCAAAATGCCTGGCTTACCACTTCGCCACGGGGACTGTTGGTACTGATGGTTAATGGCACTGGCACTATTGGCACAGATGGTATCCCACGGGGATACTTTTCATCTTTAAGTACTGTATTGTATTATACAGTATTAGAATACTGTATACATGTTAAATTTTTTAAATTATTTGTGTGTTTTACAGTACCTTACATTTAATACAATATGACATATTACCCCAAAAATGTAAAACTCGATACACTCGTTATCTTAAGTTATGACCGAAATGCTGCATGTAATTAGTGACTTCATAAAATATACTAATACTGCACCTATTGAGTAACCAATGTTATCTGATCCTCTGTATTTTTATATTATCATTATTATTATTTTTAAACCATACTAGCAACACTACAAACTAGACACAATGGGGCCGATTTCATTAAGGTCTTTAAATTATTGAACTGAAAAAAATTAGAAGACATTAATTCAGACCATTTCTTTAAATGTTCAATGTAACACAAAAGGCAACAGCTTCAAGCTTAAGCCACAATATTGGACAGAAAACAGATGCATTTCACCCATAGGGTTATAACTCCATTGAACTGCCTACTTACTGAAGCTGTAAATGCCAAGACAACACTTCGGTTAAAACCTTCTGCAGGAAAAATTTCAGGAATAATAGGGGTTATCTTTGACAAGCAGTTTGCTTCCTGTCCCCATTAGGACCACTAGAAATGATGGCCCATAAGTAATTCAGTTAATTTAGTTAAATTCAGGTACAGTACTGTACAGTAGAGCAAATGATACCAAGTGCTCTTCCCATAAGGTTTAGTAGTTGTATTTCATGCTTGACATTTTAAATGGTAACAGCCTAATTCTTTATCAGGTTTCCTAGCTCAAGGTTACATTTAATTTTATTTATAGGAAAATTAACTGAAAACCTAAAAATAATGTCAATACAATAATAAAAACAAAGAAGTGTTAAAACACCAAAAATATAACAGGCCAAGAAGGAGGAATTAAAAATCACAACTGTACTATCTGTACAATATTTGCATTTTAGGAGACTTCACTCTATGGACTTTACTCCACATCAAGAAGCAGAACCATACTACTGCCATAAACTTTACTTACCATCCTTCATAGAGATTATCCAACCATCAGTGCCAGATCCAAGGAAACCATGGATGATTATGTATGTGCGATGTGGGTAGAAGCGAGTAGCTGCCAGAGATGCATGTGACCCCACTTCCAACTCTTGTGCAGCTTTGTGACGTCTACAGGTAATAGGCAAATAAGTTATTATTATATACTACTAATTATACTAAATAATATACTAATTATTTACATACAAAACCATGGAACTGCCTACCCGCCAGGCTGTAAATGCCAAAAGGTTGCCGAATTTCAAAATTCAACTCGACAAAATCAAGACAATTGGAAGGACCTTTGACAAGCTGCTGGCTTCTGTCCTCATCAAGGCCACTAATGAGTGTGGCCCTCAACTAAATTCAGGTAAATTTTTTTGGTGCAAGTATGGAACTATTTGAACACAACATTGAGGTATAGAATAGAGGGATGGCAAAAGTCTGCTTTAATCAAGACATTCTTAGAATATCAAATGAAAACAGTATTTATTCCTTATATAATGTACATAGTTTCTGTTGTAGTCCATTAATAGTTTGAGATCAGAATTATCAATGTATTTCAAAGTTTTATAGATACCGAGAGTAAACTTGAGTGCATAGTTTTAATATTTAACATGTTCAAGGCGTGCCCACATACTGTCCGAGGTTGGGATTTGTGATTCATTAAGGTACCGATTTATGCCAAATAATTATGTCTCCGGTACATAGTACTGTACCATATTTGATTTTAGTCAAAAGTGCCTACAGTTTCAGAAACTTTTTAAAATTTTATTTCATATATATGACCATTTAAATTCAATTTGTTGTCAATGGAAATACCAAGGAAGTTGTCTATGTACTCTGCTCACAACCAATGGTACCAAAGAACACTGTATAATGATCAAAAGTCCACGGTTGTTCAACATCCTCCCAGCGAGTATAAGAAATATTGCCGGAACAACCATGGACATCTTCAAGAGAAAACTATATAATTTTCTCCAAGAAGTGCCAGACCAACTGGGATGTGATGGATATGTGGGCCTGCAGGCCACTCCAAGCAACAGCCTAGTGAACCAAACTCTCACAAGTCAAGTCTGGCCTCGGGCCAGGCTTGGGGAGTAGAAAAACTCCCAGATCTCCATCAAGCAGGTAACTGAAATGTAAAAAAAAAAAAAAAAAAAAATCTATTCTACACTGTAGCCTGTCTCACCTGGTCCAAAGAAAGAAGTTCTGAACATTGTTGAGGGTGATGGAGGTTTCTTCACTGCTCACCAAGAAGTTCACAAGACCTGAGGAGTGGGGTAAACATTATTTGTAATAATTATTCATCAGTTGTGCTAGTGTTACTACTGCTGACTTTTTAAAATTTATATTAACTTACACTTCACTATTACTATTGTCACATAATTCCCCTGCATAGCTGGGTAAATTGCCTCTACACTCACCTTCGTGAGAGAAGGTGCCTATTAGCCTATCGTAGGTGTGCTTGTTATGCTGCTGGTGACTCGTTCCAGTCGACATTGACATTCAGTCTGAACACTGATTCTCTTTGAAAATGAAGAGATAGAAATTCAGTGTCTTGGGTGCTCCAGGGGTCAACATTACTACCTGCCACGACTCTTGCTCCACCAGCCGTTTTGTGGCAAGGTTGTGGTTGTTTCCAGTGTACAGTATAATTCCATAAGCCCTCGATTTGTTCATATTGTAATTACCCAAGTGTAGTTACAGGACGAGAGCTACGCTCGTGGTGTCCCGTCTTCCCAGATTTTTTACTACAGTACCTTATTAACTCAATGTAACCTACCCAACCCGTTCTCGCAAATTTAATAAGTCAATATTGACTTATTAAATATGTGCATAGGTGACATACTTAACATAATAGATACCCTTAAAAAAGATTCATAGAAAACACCGACCTTACCTAACCTTGTTAGTATCTTAAGATAAGCATCTTATTGCTTCGTAATTACAATTATTACCTAACCTATAATAGGTATAGGTTAAGTAATAATTGTAATTACGAAGCAATAAGATGCTTATATTAAGATACTAACAAGGTTAGGTTAGGTCGGTGTTTTCTATGAATGTTTTTAAGGGTATCTATTATGTTTAGTATATCACCTATGCACGTAGTTAACAAGTCAATATTGACTTTACGAATTTGCGAGAACGGGTTGCATGACCTACCTCACCCCCAAAATGTCAACCCATTTTTTTCTTATTTTTTCTCAACACAATTTATACTTTAATCTCAATTAGTATTAAGTTTTAGTCTTAGTGTTTTTCCTGCCCGAAACGCTATGTGCAATAGTGGCTTTAGGCATTGTATGTACTAGCTCTATCTATAGATCCATCAACTTTTGTATCTTACCCTGTATGTATGTAATTTACCTGAATAAATATTCGTATTTTTTTGTTTTTGTTAAATGATATTTATCCAGACAACTTTAAAAAAAAAAAAAAAAAAAAAGGACCTCCACCACATAAGAATGTGCATGAATGGCTACGCAGAATGGCCAGATATGATATGACTAGTGATAAATGCAATTATATGCAGTGCTCTTACTCCTTGTTCTGACTGGCATAACATATACAAGGAACTGGATAGAGGCTTCCAAGAACATTTAATAAACAATGGGTATACGAATAGAGAAGTCAATACAGTACCAATACCAAAAGATACTGCATATCTCCACCAGTGTAATCACCTGTCAATTTATATTGTAGTTATATGTTGATATAAAACTACTACAATGTACTTTTTCATCTTACCCGATATGTTAGATTAAGGATCTACCTGATGCGTATTAGTGGCTTTACAAGAATGTAAAAATACCAATGTTATGTAATCTCACCAACCCATTATACCTTCTTGCAAATAAAGATTATTATTATTATTATAGCAGTCCTTTTTGTTTTGTAGTAAATAATGAATTCTAATCTTTGGTCTGGGGCTGTGTTTCACTCCATTTGAAATTGATTTATTATTCTTTCTTCTGTTTTATACTGCGAGCTCATAGTGGATTTGTAATAAGAGCTTTGTGGGACCGCACTTGCTATTGTGGTTGTCCTGTTATACCATTTTTCTAAATACAGTATACCAATTTACATGCTCCAATGAAGAATGTCACCTTCGCCCGACAGATGATATGATCTTCCAAATGGATAACTAAAGCTGGAGCTGAAATCATAATATATTGGATTTATAATTTGTACCAAGAGACAACAACGGCACTTTCCTGCACCGTGGGAGATTACACACTTTCCAATTTTAATCCCTCCCTTTCCACCCAAGAAGAAAATTAAGAACAGCCCAAGCTCAATCTTGAGGCAAAAGTCAATGCCTTAAGCCATATTGATGCTCTATCCACAGAGCATTCTCTCTCAAATATACACTGATGGTTCCCCACGCCACCCCACGGGTGCATCTAGAAGTGCAGCTGTCTTGACAATTGGTGATGGCATATATATATTGGGTGAGGAGTCCAAATAAACAACTGGGGCCTCTACAATTCAGACTGAACTATTTGCCTTACTTCTTGCACTAAAAATGTGTACAGTACACGTCTGCAAACTTGATACATTAATTGAATATATGTACACGTGTATGTAGTACTAACAATTATGTATCTATCTGTAGGTTAGATTAGCATTTTGAAAGCACTACAATCACCTTCTGTGATTGATTGTTTAAGAAATCCCTGAACTATATGTTGTAACAGATTTCTCACCCTGTCCATAGAGGACAAGAAAATGTATACATGGTGGTTAGCATTGTAAATGTGTGGCCACATCTGTGGTAACAAAAATTGTGTATTCAATTCAAACTCCTTTAGCTAAATGAACTATGGGGTTCAGTGCTTGAACCCATCATGTACCTCTGTAACCCTTTCCACCACCGCCCACGGGATGGGTATGAGGTACATAATAAATGAAATGAAAAAAAAAATAGCGTGTAAACTGGAACAGAGAAAGTACACTCAGACGAATTTGACAGATGAAACGTGTATTAGCATGCACTAGTTTAGCATTAACATGCAGAATGATGGAAGAGTGAGGACCATGCTTGTGTATAACCGCCACGTTTAGAGTAGTAGTGAATATAGTAATGACTTACTGGGATGGAAGACCAGGACGGCCATGAAGACACTGAAAGTTGCAGCTATAGTACGGAGAGAGAGGGGCCATGGGGAATCCATATTGGCCTCCGGTGGAGAGCCTCTATTATTGTTGTTGCTGCTGCTGCTGCTGCTACTCTCCCCAACACCCGCCTCGCTCATGGGCTGCCCATGGGAGACCAGACACTGTAGTTTTGGCAGGCACCACACCCTGTTCTTCCTTGACAATCTACATAGTTAAGTAAACAATATGGCCGTTTCAATGTCGCTCGCATCAATTTGAGGACCTGCCAACACCCTGAACAATACTGCCACTTGACATGGCCACCACCAAACTACGTTTGTTTACTGTGGTGTGTGCCAGGTAGTCCACTACCTCACCTGCCCCCACGTGCCCCCACCAACCACCTTCCCCTTCACATTCAAATTGATAGTTGCAAATTAAGATACCCTCACTTACCAATTATCGCTCCTCCCACGACCAATTATTCCTCATACAGTACCTACATTCCCCATCCTGGCTGCTCTCTAGCACCAACGATTTTTTTTTATTATTTTAATATATACAAGTTCTTACATTCTTGTACAGCCACTAGTACGCGTAGCGTTTCTGGCCAGAAAGTCCTTAATCCTATGTTCCCCGGAATACGACCCCGCGAAATTGTTTAACAACCAGGTACCCACTTTACTGTTGAGTTCAACAGAGGCTACAGTTAACGACTGAGAGTAAATCAGTCACACCCACAAGTGTACCAGCACGTCCGGCGGTCACTACTGCAGCAGACAGGCGGCGCGACGTGTTTCCGGATCGTTAGCACACGCAATTAGTTTCCGGGCTAGGCAGCATTCATAATTTGAAAACAATGTCTTGTTTGTTGAGACTTTGGTGAAGTATAGGCGCAGGAGCACTATATAGGGTATACGAAAGCCGAGAGTGGCAATATACCGAGAGATCTTTGTGTGAGATGGAGAGCAGGACCCCCGTGATACACCAGCTGCTGGTGCCGCAACACTGGTGACTCAACCTGTCACGCCCGCTCGCACACGCGCACTCACGCCCATATGATGCAAAGTAATGTAAACCTGTATTTACTTTATTTTATTTATTTATATACAAGAAGGTACATTGGGGGGTTAAGAGAGTACATAGCAGTGAAGATTTCACATTCTTGTAAAGCTACTAGCAAGCATTTAGATCTGGAAATGTTTCTCCCCCGTCATCACAGAATAAGAAGTCTAATTGTTATACATACATAAACACGGTACTTTACATAGTGGGTACTAAATACCCTCACCGACCTAAGACAACAGTTCTAGCTTCCTCAAGGTCGCCAGACTGCAAAGTCCATAATCAAATCCTGTGTAATCTGCCAGAGGTACGACGCTCGGGTGTGTCCTTATCCAGGACCTCCACCACTTCCTAAGGAGCGAGTAGTCCACCTTCGTCCTTTTAAGACCACTGGTGTATACTACATAGGAGCTTTAACACTAGTAGGCACCAAGGACAGAGTTTCAGTGAAGCCGTACATCTGTCTATTCACCTGTGCCACAACAAGGGAAGTACATCTAGCCACAACAAGGGAAGTACATCTAGCCACAACAAGGGAAGTACATCTAGCCACAACAAGGGAAGTACATCTAGCCACAACAAGGGAAGTACATCTAGCCACAACAAGGGAAGTACATCTAGCCACAACAAGGGAAGTACATCTAGCCACAACAAGGGAAGTACATCTAGCCACAACAAGGGAAGTACATCTAGCCACAACAAGGGAACTACATCTAGCCACAACAAGGGAAGTACATCTAGCCACAACAAGGGAAGTACATCTAGCCACAACAAGGGAAGTACATCTAGCCACAACAAGGGAACTACATCTAGCCACAACAAGGGAAGTACATCTAGCCACAACAAGGGAAGTACATCTAGCCACAACAAGGGAAGTACATCTAGCCACAACAAGGGAAGTATATCTAGCCACAACAAGGGAAGTACATCTAGCCACAACAAGGGAAGTACATCTAGCCACAACAAGGGAAGTACATCTAGCCACAACAAGGGAAGTACATCTAGCCACAACAAGGGAAGTACATCTAGCCACAACAAGGGAAGTACATCTAGCCACAACAAGGGAAGTACATCTAGCCACAACAAGGGAAGTACATCTAGCCACAACAAGGGAAGTACATCTAGAAGTGACTCCTGACATGAGTACTGGGGCATTCATACATGGCAGGTTTTCCGCAGATTTTCTGCCTTTCGATCCTGCCCGAAGTTGATGAACTCAGACAATGGGTCCAAGTTGGGGAAGCATGTCTGAGGGAAGTCTGGAACCACCTAGCGGTACACACTGTTCTGAATCAACGGCACTGCCATTGAAAGTGTATACCCTCCAAAGCACCGTGTCACGGAGGTTTCTACGAACGAAAGGTGGGTACAGTGAAACGTTGTTGTTGTTGTTATAGATTCAGCTACTCGGAACAAGTTCCAAGTAGCACGGGCTATGGTGAGCCCGTAACTTACCTGGCACAGGAGCAGGGCAAGTAGCACGGGCTATGGTGAGCCCGTAGCAGACTTACCTGGCACTGGAGCGGTGCCCTGCTCTGTACATCTGTACAGTGAAACGCTCTCTACCGTCAAAAGATTGACTTACAGGAGCTACAAACCGTTGTCACTGAAATCGAATCTCGGGTCAATAACAGACCACTGACCTACCTCTCTGACGATCTCTGGCAACGCGAACCACTAAGTCCATCTCATCTGATGTATGGGGAACTTCTTAGCCCTCTAGCGTCTCTCATGGACGAGGCACCAAAAGATCCTTCATATGTCTGAGAGAGAGTGACTTGGTTCAGCACTTTAAACATCTGACATGAGAAATAAGTCGATGGAATGACGTTTGTACTTCAGAATACCTAACTGCTCTAAGGAGGTATCATTAAGGGGGCAAACAACCCCCTATTACAAAATTATCTTAAACCCTGGTGACATAGTTTTGGTGGACAGTGCTAGACCACGCTCAGAGTGGCCTACAGGTCGTATAGTCTCTGTTCATCCAGACAACCAGGGTAACTTGAGAATAGTGAAAGTGCCGAGGCACCACTACTCTCAAAACCTTGGAGAAACTGGTTTCTTTAGAGCTAGCAGGAAAAGAAGTTACTCGAAGCCTTCTAACCTCTACAGCTCTTGTATGGGACATCCGTCCAGGACTGCCACACAACAGTGCAAGTTAAAACAATATTGTAATTCTGAAGGAGAGGAATGAAGTGTTCGGCAGCCCTAAATATTGGACTTCGACCCGTGTTTCTCCCTCCCCCCCCCTCATAATTATGTTGGAAATTCCGACACTAGATTACTAACAACCAATATAACCAGCAAACATGGTTATACTAGGGACATACTAACATACATTACTAATCGTTAACTTCATTAGAAGAAAATGGGTTTAAACCGTTCAGAGAAAAGGGAGGTTCGTGATGTCATAAAAATATTTATTTATTTATTAATTAATTTATTTATATATATACATACAAGAAGGTACATTGGGTTTGTGAGGATAAATAGCATAATGATTACATTCTTGTAAAGGCACTAGTACGCGCAGCGTTTAGGGGCAGGTCCTTAATCTAACAGAAAATTTTAAGTAGGCAAATACTAGCAAAATTTATTACATGATAACGGGTACATTGCAAGAAAAAAAATGAGATGAGGGAGGTTTGTAGGTATATTAAAGCACATAGGTAGCTCAGATTGATTGCCTTGTCAGCTTGAATGGTAATTTAACAAAGATTAATAGGCACAATACAGCATATAGCAAGCACATATAAGACAGCAGTGATCACAATGGTAAAGTTTGGATTAAGTACATAAAGATTGGGAGATTGGGTAACACTAGATACAGAGCAATTTTAAAGCACAGAGTAGGAAACTATGAAGATGAAATTAGGTACTTTTTGGTTTTGATTTTTGAATGAGGCAAAAGTTGGACAGCTTTTTAATTCATTAGGGAGTGAGTTCCATAGACTAGGTCCCTTTATTTGCAAAGAGTGTTTACACAGATTAAGTTTGACTCTGGGGATATCAAAGATATATTTATTTCTGGTGTGGTGATAATGGATCCTATTACATCTGTCCAGGAAGAGTTTCTGAGTAGGGTTTGCATTTAAGAACAGGGTTTTGTCAATGTAGTTGACACAAGTTAGTTTGTTCATTTATTATGCACCCCCATACCAATCTTGTGGGTGGTAGTGGAAAGGGTTACAGAGGCACATAATGGGTTGACACAAGAGAATGTGTGGAGTGAGTTTATGTTTATCATGTTTAGGGATTTAAACAAGAGGGCTGAGTATTGTCTGAGAGCAGAGTTTGTTATTATTCTGATAGCAGATTTTTGCTGGGTGATGATGGGCTTGAGGTGGTTTGCAGTGGTTGACCCCCATGCACAGATACCATAATTAAGATAGGGATAGATTAGTGCATAATATAATGAAAGGAGAGCAGAGTTAGGCACATAATATCTGATTTTGGAGAGTATACCAACTGTTTTAGAGACTTTCTTAGTTATGTGTCGTATGTGGGTGCTGAAGTTGTGTCTCTTGTCTAGGAATAGGCCAAGAAACTTTCCATTATTTTTATTACTGATGTTAATATTGTTTATCTGTAGCTAAATTGCATTTGTTGATTTGCTTCCAAGTAAGATGTAGTAAGCCTTTTCTATGTTTAGTGTTAGTTTGTTGACATCCATAAATGGACTTTTTTTTAATTCATTATTCACAACATTAATTAGTGTATGTGGGTTGGGGTCTGAATAGATGAGGGGTAATATCATCACCAAACAATATAGGTTTAAGAATGTTAGAGGCATTAGGCAGATCATTGATATATATAAACGCTTTGCCCGAAACGCTTTGCGTAATAGTGGCTTTAGGCATTGTATGTACTAGCTATACCTATAAGTTAAACAATCCTTGTAAATATTTATTGTATGTATGTACCTTACCTAAATAAAATTGTATTGTATTGTATAAGAAATAGGAGAGGTCCCAAGATGCTGCCCTGTGGCACTCCAACGGTTATTGGTAGAGTGGGAGAGGTTATATCATTGATGGCTACACCTTGGTGTAGATATTCACCATACTTAAATATATTCATAAATATTTAAATATAAATATATATATATATATATATATATATATATATATATATATATATATATATATATATATTCATAGTACTCCTGGTTGGAAGAAGGGGACCCTTAACCTCGGAGGAAACCACACATAACGCTTTAGAGGGAATGTTTAGGAGTCATTCCTAAACATTAGAGGGAATGTTTGGAAACTTTTCCTTGATAAGTGTAATAGAACTCATGAGCACCATACCAGAAATAAATATCTATTTGATATCCCTCAGAGTCAAACTACATCTATACAAACACTTCATGCAAACAAAAGGACTCAGTCTATGGAACTCACTCCCTAACGAATTAAACAAAATTCCAAACTATGTCTTATTCAAAAGTAAAACCAAAGAGTACCTAATTTCATCCTCATAGTTCCCACCGTGTGCTTTAAACTCACACTTTATCTTATACTACCTACTTCCCCAATATTAAGTACTTAAAGACATATATCTTCACCAGTGCAATCACCTGTCAATTTGTATTGTAGTTATATGTTGAAATAAAACTGCTACAATGTACCTTTCATCTTACCTGACATGTTACATTAAGGACCTGCCCGAAACGCTATGCGTGTTAGTGGCTTTGCAAGAATGTAAAAATAAACATACCAATCATGTAATCTACCATACCTATTGTCCCTTCTTCTAAATAACTATTATTATTATTATTACATAAGGGCTTGAGATCACACAAATATCAAAATTAAGACAGCATGTCTAATTAGAAATCTAAATTAGAAATTAATTAGAAATATCCAACTCCACATACTCTATTTGACACACAGAAATCACAATAGCGTGATGCATCAAATTCTTTTACCATGTCGTGGCTCAGTCGATTAAGTCGCGTCTGAGATCCTCTCGGACGTAGATTCGAACACTCATCACGGCACTTGTGGATTTGTTCATTTACTCTTTTTAACTTTGGAATCACCAACAAAGAGTACATTAATTTATAACTAAGCTTCTCTATATTGTACCGTAGTCACAATGTCTGCACCACATTACAACCATAATGTTCCTCTATAAGACATGTGTGATTGTAACCAGACGAGTACACGGCATCGCACAACGCATGTGTGTGGAGCTAGATATGTGGTGCATGTGTGGAGCTAGATGTGTGGTGCATGTGTGGAGCTAGATATGTGGTGCATGTGTGGAGCTAGATATGTGGTGCATGTGTGGAGCTAGATGTGTGGTGCATGTGTGAAGTCAGAATCAAGAAGGCTAGCTCACTAGCGATACTAAAGTTGCCTCCAGGCGAAGAGCCCGAAATATAGTGTTCTTGAGATAGTGAAGCCTTATGCTAGCAGTTGCTAATCATCATCGTACAATATGACATACAAGGTCACATCATATTAATTACATTCTTTTTTCTCATTTAGTTGTCATTACAAAGTCACACTGACACTAAACCCACCTAAGCAAGATCCCTTAAGCAGTAACTAATTACTAGAGCAGCTAATATCGCTAGAACTAAGTTTAGTAGCCTCAGTTAGAACAAAGTAAAATTTAAATACAATTCTGATGAATACCCTGGTGCATTCTAGCACCAGGCTATTCATCAGGCTAGTGCGTCAGAATTCTGATGAATTCTGGTGCATTAGCTCTAATTAAACACTCATACGATGTATTTAGCGTATGTCGCATACTCCAATACAAAAAATAGCTTGTGGTCATCCTGGCTCAATCAGTTAAAATTTATGTTGAAAAGAATTGCACGTATCTGTAGTAGCATTTACAATATACACAACTTTGTATAAGCTTCAGCGCTAGCATTACAAGTTAAAAATACAGAGGGCAATATATGATTGTCACTAAATATATGCAACTGATTCTGAATTTCATCTTACAAAAAATTATATTTAAAGTTTCTTAACGTATCAGTTAAGAAACTTTCAGTTGTATACATCCAGAAACTTGCTCAGTGGAAATGCTTTTAAAAAGACATCTCAGTCACTCCTGTCCATTTGATCTTGTTGTATGCTAGTATATAGTACGTCATTCCAGCATATATGTCCCTGTTCAGTAATGTTTACCAAGGTTCATCTTTATATAGTTTGCAGCAGTTGTTTAATTACTATTCCAACATCAACGGTGATTGGTTGGGCTGGGTGAGCCGCTTGTGGCGCCATTTGTCAGGAGATCTGGAAAGACTCCCGCCTGGATGTTGAAAGATTTTTATTGTTCTTGTAGTAGTGGAGGCTTGTCTGGCGTCAGTCATCATCTGTATTTCGGCTTGTCTTGCTGGGCATTCCGTTGAGATGGCGGAGCATGTGGACGGCACACACCACTATGACTGGAGCATGTGGACGGCACACACCACTATGACTGGAGCATGTGGACGGCACACACCACTATGACTGGAGCATGTGGACGGCACACACCACTATGACTGGAGCATGTGGACGGCACACACCACTATGACTGGAGCATGTGGACGGCGCACACCACTATGACTGGAGCATGTGGACGGCGCACACCACTATGACTGGAGCATGTGGACGGCACACACCACTATGACTGGAGCATGTGGACGGCACACACCACTAAGACTGGAGCATGTGGACGGCACACACCACTATGACTGGAGCATGTGGACGACGCACACCACTATAACTGGAGCATGTTGACGGCACACACCACCTCTCCCTGCTCACACGTGCTGCACGAATCAAACCAAAGTAAGCAAAACAAATACAGAGCAGTATTAGTATTGGTTAAACTGATAAAGTTGCTAACAAAATAAATTGCATGATATTTTAGATTTGATATAGAAATTTTAAATATTAACATCATAAAGTTCATCGTTCTATAAGTTTTATTTAAAGGACTATGAACACTGTAGATTCAGTACAATTAAGAGCAGACTTGGAATGTACATCAATGTCAGTTAAAAAAAAAATCTAGTTTAGATTAGGCTGTAAATTACACATAATATAATATAAATAACATTATAAAGAAATTTTCACCCATTTAAATTATTTCCAATCTTTACTGATAAAGCTCTGGACGAACTCTTACCAGTTTTCTATCCTTGGAGTATTCATGAAGATTTGAAGCTGGGAGAACTGAGATGCTGATATTGTACACCCGCCAGGCAGGTGCACCTCCTCCTCCCGACCCTCAGCATAGGAAAGGTCCTCGTACCGCACCGGCAGCTCTGGTGGTCCTGATTCCTCTATTGAGTGTGGAACGATTCATGTTTACAGATTTTACTTCTGGAACTCTTCAGAAATAATGCTGCAAGGTTTGTGGATTAATTTACAAAATTCAGTTTTTTAATGCTTCGTGAATTCGATGTTATGTTTACGAAGATTTTATAACAATGAACACAATTAAAAGAGCCTTTGACTTCATGGACAAAAATGTGGTTATTCAGCTGTACAAGACTCTAGTGTGCCCCCTGAACTACTGTATCCAAGCAGGGAGGCCTAACCTTCTAAAGAACGTATATGTTTTTTTAGGAAAGGTCAACACAGAACGACAAAAATCCTCCCAGAGCTCCTCTCACACCAGGTACGGTTGGGAGCCTCATGACTAACATCACAACAGTCCCTGTCTGATCTGTTATTCTTGGACTCAGTTCTGATCCTTAGATCTTCAATTCAAGTCTTTGATATAGTGAAAGCTAGAGTGGAGAGCACTCTGAATTGTACTTGATAAAGATTATGACTTATAGATTCTTGAGTATATGATTTACATGCTTACAATTGTTACTTCATAACATCAGATAATATTGTGATACAGACAAGTTCCATTCCTTGTATTAATAACTCTTGAATGGAAGGTGGCAGCCCCCTTTCTTCCTTTTCTTTTCCTTCTCTTCCTTTCAGTTACCTTTCTTTCACCTCCTCGCACTCACTCATCCCTTTGACCTCACTCTATGAGTTTTCACCTTTCTTTCTCCAATTTCCGATGTTTCAATGGTGGCAGCCCTTTTTTCTTCTTTCCCAGCTCCCTCTTTCTTCTTCATTCTTACTTCTTTTTCCTCTCTTCTGTCAACCACTTCCACTACTTTCTATACTCTTCTACCTCTTCTAGCCTTTCTTTCTATCTCTTATCTAATTTATCTACTCTAACCCATTTTCTCTCATTCTGAACTTTCCCTTTCTCTTGACCACTCTTCCTCACTCCTCCCCTCCACCTGACTCTCCCTCACTCTGTTTTCCATCTTACTCCAATTATTCCCTTACATTACAATACTATAGTTATTGCTCTGGCATTCATGCAGAACTAGTACTGTCATCTAGGATGTCATGCAGAACCTAGTACTATCCCATCCAGGAAGCTATACAATACTAGTACTATCTAGAAAGTCATGCAGAACTAGTATTGTCATCCAGGTGTTCATGCAGAACCTAGTACTATCCCATCCAGGAAGCTATACAATACTAGTACTATCTAGGAAGTCATGCAGAACCTAGTATTAACCAGGCAGTGACACACTTGAGGGACTCTCCAGGTACTTACCCAGAATAGGCAAGACGGCGCTTGTGTCTTCTACCCAGTCGATAACTGCAATGTAGAAGAGAACGGGTAGTGGAGGTGGGTAGGAGGAGCAGTGTGGGGGTACAAGAGTGGGTACTGGACGTGGGGTAGGAGGGAGCAGTGTGGGGGTACAAGAGTGGGTACTGGACGTGGGTAGGAGGAGCAGTGTGGGGGTACAAGAGTGGGTACTGGACGTGGGGTAGGAGGGAGCAGTGTGGGGGTACAAGAGTGGGTGCTGGACGTGGGTAGGAGGAGCAGTGTGTGGGTACAAGAGTGGGTAGTGGACGTGGGGAGGGTGACAAAAGCATGCCGTGACCTTAACACTAATCATTTTAATACTGACAAGGGTACGGGTCTGAGCCCAGGTAATGATGATAATAGTTACCAGATATCAACTGAACAATGTTGAAATTGTCTACTGTCAGCGCACGAAAGATCTGTAAGCCATGACAGCGGGAATCTTAAGCCAAAAATAAATGCAAAAGTGCATGAAATAAATCACATAGGATACTGGGATTTATTTCTAGAAGTGTTAGCAATATTCTCCAGCCTTACTTGCTATAGTTAGGCCTCACTTAGATTATACAGTTGACTAGTGATCTCCGTGCTAGACAATGAACACAAATTCACTTAAGGTGAAGTATATATATATATATATATATATATATATATATATATATATATATATATATATATATATATATATATATATATATATATATATATTTATAATATGATAAAAATATAAATGGAAACAATATATGCAAATAGGATCTTTTTCCGGTCCTCAACCAGGCCTCCACCCCCAGGAAGCAGCCCGTGACAGCTGACTAACACCCAGGTACCTATTTTACTGCTAGGTAACAGGGGCATAGTGTGAAAGAAACTCTGCCCATTGTTTCTCGCCGGCGGCTGGGATCGAACCCAGGACCACAGGATCACCAGTGTGCTGTCTCCCATGGATACGTATAGATTCGGAAAGACCCGTGTAAATATGGGTTTGGCAGCCCGTCCTCCTGTTTTGGTAGTACTTATAGTAAAGCTGAGGACCATAGTACATATACCGACGTACTAACGCAATTAGAAAGTAGAAATCTGTATTATTGGATTTGGAGAAACAGAAGAACGATTTTCTACATATGTTGCAAAGACCAACTAAACAAAACCTAACCTTCCTAGGCCTAATACACACTAGATGAGGCCTAATATAGTACATATGTGTGCTATACTAGGCCTAGGAATATTTAAGTTTGCTTTTTAGCTTCATTTTTTCGAACTCTTATAAAGTGAATTGTTCAAAGTTCTACTATCTAATTGCTTAGTAAGTCAATGTTTGTACTATGGTGCACATAGTTATAAAATCTAAACGGGCGGATCTGTTGTTCCAAACCGGTTGTTGATTTGTTGAGCAAACTGCTGGATAGCGTGGCTAGATTGTTTCAAGCGTAGGTTACACATATATGCGAATGAGTTTGGGTGGATATAGATAGGAGCTGCCTCGTATGGGCTAAAAGATCTTCTGTAGCTTCCTTAATTCTTATGTTCTTATGAGGGGGCGGGAGGGTGAAGCGAAGGATGAGGGGAGGAAGATAGGAGTGGGAGGTTTAGGGGCCTCTACACTACTGGAGGGACTCTCCACACCGAGGAGACAGGCAGGAAGGTCACACTCACCTGGGGGACTCTCCACACCGAGGAGACAGGTGCGGACGCAGCCGTTGAAGCAACACAAGCGGCTCTGGGGACACTGGTAGTGGTGGAGGCAGGCGGGGACTCCACACAGGTCCTGGTGAAAGGGCTGGATGGGAGGAGGACACTGGGAGAGGGCGGCCAGCGCCTCCCCTACAGGGATGCCCTCCTCAGGCTCCTCCCTCACCTGCCACACCAAGAACGAAGGTAAGTTGCAAGTTACTCACTCACTCACAGGAATATAACTCCCATATATTACCAGAAATAAATGATACACTCAATAATATAAACGATGACTTATTCATTACTAGAATCATTAACCTTCATTCAGTACTAGAATCACTGGCCTTCTTCCATTACTAGAATTATTAGCTTTCATTCAGAAAACACTGACCTGGGTAAGGGGATTACCTGATGGACAGAAAACAGTCACAGCGGAGACGAGGTTTCAAGGGAAGAAGGTAACAAATAAATTCACCAAAGGACAGTCCTGGGACCCCTATTGTTCCTATTCATGTGAGGGACCAACCCGAGGGAGTAAACTCCAGGAGTGGACTAACAAATGTGTTACGGTATCGACACCATCGCCGGAGTGGGGAGTGGCGATTTTGGCGCCATCTATGCACCTGCGCTCCAACTCCCAGGTATGAGGTGACATGCAGACAACGCCATCTGTTGGCGATAGTGTAGGCGACGGTGAAAGGCTCCTGTTTCATACCTCAGAAGGTGAGAACGATGATGATGACCTGTAGTGGGTGGCATCAAGCTGTCAACGCCATCTAGGTTGTGAGAGCAATTACAATTTCAATTCCCTGGTGGACGGGTGTTATCGTAAGGTCACCCAGTATACTGTCTGTCTAGCTAATGATGTTTATGTTCACAGAGGTGACGTAACAAGGCAATTGTGCTGAGGAGGGCAGTTCACCTTGGACAGTCCAGAACTCTTGACTAGGTCCTGTGAGAGGACAAAGTGGCCGCCGTCGGTAGTAGCAGTGTTGTATGGACCAACGTACCCAGGATCTGGCCAAGAAGAGTTACGAGATGACAGAAGTGCGTCTGTTGAGAAGTGCTGCTAGTGTGTTGCTCGAGACTTCTGCCAGGGTGTTAGCTACCCCTGTACTCGCCTAGTTGCACAACCCTAGTTGTGCACAAGCACAACTCGCCTAGTTGTGCACAAGCACAACTCGCCTAGTTGTGCTTGCGGGGGTTGAGCTCTGGCTCTTTGGCCCCGCCTCTCAACTGTCAATCAACAGGTATGTGATTACATGAGACCCCTGAGGTGTTGCTGAAGCCCTCTGCCAGTGTTTCTAGAGAGCGGGTGTTGGGTATTGGGACATCATTACAGTGTGTGGACTGGCCCCTGGTGAGGAAGGTGAACTCCCCGGTGATTATCATTGAGTGTGGACGACGTGTACCTGGACGTAGTGGACTTGCCGGGATTTGATGAACACTGCAGGTTTATTTAGTGTCATGAGTGAAAGCGACACGGTGTAAATGTGTCGTAATACGATTATAATTTATATATATATATATATATTATATAATATTGGTGTAATTGCATATTGTTTACCCCCCCCCCCCTTATTCCTCGCACTGTAACGTACTGCCGCCAATTCTTGAAAACTTGTCATCGACTTTGGGCAGGATGAAGAAGGTACAAGACACGTTAACAGAAATAACCGGGTTGCTGACCGTAACAAAATGGTTACTAGAATTCAGTGCCAACACGTGTAAGGTAATGAAGGTGAGAATGAAGACCAGCAGATATCTACACCATAAGGAGAAGGCAACTACAGGAGTCTGAGAGAAACAGATCTGTGAGAGTGCTGGCATTATATCCTCTATCTCCACACACAAATACAGTGAAACATCGGCTGCATCGAGATGCTTTCAAACCTAAGCCAGGGCTCTTCCAAAGCAAGCTACACAGCCTTTGTTAAACCAATCAGGTATATGAAGCACCTGCCTGGAATCCGGACCCTGTAAAACATTAAACCAAAATTGAGAAGATATATATGTTGAGAACAAGATCAGTGCCAGAGCTGAAAAAGGATATGATATGAGGATAAATTAAGAGAACTTGACCTCACAACCCTGAAGGAGAGGAGAAACTGAGGTACATGATCGCAATATACAAGATACTATGGGAAATGTACAAGGTGTTTAAGGACAGCCACTTTAAAGTGAGAGAAAGTAGGGCGAGAGGACATAAGTGGAAACACAAATGAGTCGAATAATTATAAGGAAATACTCGTACCGTGTACGGGTGGTCTCTAAAAATGGAATGCACTAAAATAAGTTATGAAAGAGACCTCCATCCTTAACTTTAAGGCAAAATCCGATAACGAATTTGAACGTCAGAATAGTTAAATTATAACACAACAGGTACAAAACACTAAGTAGGCGGACTAAACCTCGCTTGCCCTTAATCACTGAGAGGTACGTCCACCCACCACACCACCACCACTACAACCACACTACCACCATACCATTATGACCACCACCACCACTACAATCACACCACCACCATACCATTATGACCACCACCACACCACCAATTGGGTATATGTATACCACTACAACCACACCACTACCACCACAACCACCACTACAACCATACCATCACCATCATGACCACCACTACACCACACCAACAACCCCATCCCCCTCCCCCCTGACCACACCATCTACACACAGACCTCTTCCTACGATAAGCGGAGTGGAAGACGTGCATATGGCATCTCTGGTGATGGCACCCCCACCCCCTCAGCACCACCTCCCCCCCATCAGCACCCCCTCACCCCCCCCCCCCTCACTTCTCCCTTGTGCAGACGAGGAGTCACAATAACATGACTGAAATATGTTGACCAAACCACACACTAGAAAGTGAAGGGACGACGACGTTTCGGTCCATCCTGGACCATTCTCAAGTCGATTGAGAATGGTCCAAGACGGACTGAAACGTCGTCGTCTCTTCACTTTCTAGTGTGGTTTGGTCAACAGCCTCCCCCTTCTCTAATTGTCTTGTCTCCCCAAAGAGAAACAATGATATCATCATACAGTGAACGGCAGCAGTTCAAGTGCGCAAGACAACACTACCCAAGAAAGGTCAAAGGTGACAGATGGTAACACAACTGTTTAAATGGCTGCCTTGATCACTTCACCAACCATCCCGACGCGTTAAACTATCATATTATTATTTCAGTGTTAAATAAATCCCTGTTTTTCTATGCAATAATTCAATACTGACTGCAATTACTATAATATTGAATTAAACCTATTTTATCATTGATGTCAACAATTGTTTAAACTTTGGTCTTCTTGATGTACAATTTGATGAAACACAAAATCCAAACTGCTGTGCTCATTAAGTACAGGTTATAGTTCTTGTGTTCCTTAAATACACTTCCCAGTTACTCTGCCCATTAACTACTGCTTCGAATTACTGTACCCATTAACATGCGCTCGCATGCACCCACACACACGCACAGTTACGTGTGTGCGTAGCATTTGTATGATCACCACATACAAAATTCTCAGGGGAATTGACAGGGTAGACAAAGATGGATTTAGAACGCGTGGTACACGCACAAGGGGACACAGGTGGAAGCCGAGTACCCAAATGAGCCACAGAGACATTAGAAAGATCTTTTTCAGTGTCAGAGTAGTTAGTAAATGGAATGCACTGACTCCATACACAGTTTCAAATGTAGATATGATAGAGCCCAGTAGGCACGGGAATCTGTACACCAGTAGATTGACAGTTGAGAAGTGGGACCAAAGAGCCAAACCTCAACCCCCCCCCCACAAGCACAACTAGGTGAGTACACAATAAAACTGACCCTAGATGCAGACAGATTCACTACAAACGACAAGGAAGTGTGCGAGGAACTCGATGATAAGAAATTCTAGGTGGTCTTCACATTAGAGGAAGGAGAAGTTCCAGCGATAAGAAAGGGAAAGTGATAAGAAAGCACATGTTGGGACGTACACAATCGCGCGCAACGTTACAAGTTTCCAAATCGGTCGCAGACAAGAAAAAAAGCAACGTAAAAACCAGCAGAAGTCTCTTAAATATTTGCAATTTCGTCTATACAAATGTACAAATGCTTCCTCCGCTTAAGTATACAGCGTGTCCGTCAGCTGACGGCCATGACGTCATGTGTTTACCAAGTGAGGCGCAGACCGCCATGATGCTGGGCAGCGGCTGCCTGACCTTTGTAAACACACGTTAATGACACTATGTAACAAAGAAATCTCGAACACTGTTTATGTAGAACAGACGTAAATTAGTGTATTTGTTTGTAGGTTTGATTAGCATTTTAAAAGCACTACAATCACCTTCTGTGGTTGATTGTTCATTACGATGAAAAGGGACAGTAGAACAACAAGAAGTGCACTTACATTGTATTAGGCTTGGATACCCATGTGCATGGGAAATAGGCTTACAGGTTCCGGAAGATGAGAGGAAATGTCAGCACTGCAGAGAAATGCCCGACAGACGACTGGAACATTATCTAACACAGTGCACAGTTACAAACCCATTAAGATTTCAACTTAGATTTAACAAAGCAGTTGTTAAAACACATATGGCAAAATCTTACTGAAGCGACCATACGAGTCATAAATACTCACACTCTGTCCCAGTAAAACAGAAACAAGCAACACTTAGTGGGCCAGCCAGAGGCATAGGGCCCGCGAAGGAATAAAAAAAAAAAGTTCAATAAATTACTGAACTGTAATCACTTACTGCGATTACAGAGATGGAGTACTTACAACCTGCCACAGACGGGGACGGGTTCTTAATTAAAATGGATTTAACTGTATTTTTGGAAACTAGGTTAATATTAAAGTTTTTCAGAGCTGGGGCAAGTTTGTCAAGTCCTTCAAAATACAGTAAAACCAGCTAGTTTTTTTTTAGTTCTGGTTTAGACTTTAGGAGCACGTTTGTTGAACGACCTTTTTGCTTGCTTAAACGCGACACCCAAGAAAGATTTTGGGTATTTTAGTCTCTCTACAAAGCAATTTAAGTTCTGGTAAGCCAGTTACTCGGGTACTAATCCAGCTCCACACATTAATTTAATAGGCGGAAGCTGTAGAAAATTTACAGCCACTTGCATGAAAACTTTAGAAATTTGGCTAAAATTTCAATGTAGTGACAAGACTTTACAGAACGAGCGTTATGTTTCCCAGGCACGACAATATCTAGGTCATAACACTCCGCTAATCTCAACCAACAACAAAGGGTTCTCCAACCATGGTCATGTAATCTGGAAGTTTGTGGGTAACTTCTTAAATATGTGGAATGTCAGAGCGACGCATGTCGATATTTGGGCTGACCCCCACAACCGACCCCCAGAAATTAACACTTGTGTCGTCAACTTAGTTGTGACGGGATCAAATCAGCGCCACATGTAGGTGAACTTCTTGTGCAACTGGAGCTTGCGACATACGACAAATTTTAAGTTGAATATTAATTTAAAACTATAAAATAATGTGATGTACTTTCTGTAACTTCATAACACTCGTGTTATGAGATTACAACTGACTTTCTCAATGAGGTTACGTGCCCCCCTCCCCACCTCACCTGGAAGGGTGCCCCTTTCCCAACAGCTGGAAGAGGGGCCGGGTAGCAACACAGGATGGGCGTGTGGGCGGCGAGGTCTGAAGGCATGTACTGGTACTCACTGTGACGGGCGTGGGCAATGTGCCGTCGTGCTTGCTCCGCCTCCGTAAGTGTTCCCTGTGGTGATGGTGCACCTCGCCTTGGTGGTGGTGATGACGCTGAAGGTGCCTTGTGGCGTCACCTTGCAGAGTGAGCAGCGTCAGCAGCAGCATCACACCTTGCTTCAGCATCATGGCGGCAGTAACCTAATAGTGGAGAAGGCTTGCTTACACCCGCCGCGACGTCTTCCCTTCCTTCCCACGCTCGCTGGAGGCCCACGCCCACTTCTTCAAGAAACCTTAACAATAACTTCGTTATTAAACGCTAAAATCACTGGAGTAGCGTAAGAATAACAATGACAACGTATCGCTTGACGATAAATAATGCCAGTATATCACCCAGCTGGTAAAACTTGGGTGATAGACACTTGTCTGGGAGTGACGGCTGGCACTTGCATATACACGGGGTGACGAGCGACGGGCAGGTGGACGGAAGGGAAAGATGTGTCCGTCCCTCACTCTGTCTGGATGCAGACTGACGAACTCTGGGATGAGGACCATACCGTCGGCCCTCGGGTGGTGCTGACTCACACTGGCCGGTCTTAAACCCACAGGCGGTTGTGCACCATCAGTGTGCACCACCAGTGTTCTACATAAGTCTGCACCACCAGTGTTCTACACAAGTCTGCACCACCAGTGTTCTGCACCACCAGTGCACTACACCTGTACTTTCCAATCAGTGACTACACAGAAGTGAGGTGTAGCTCTTCATGCCCAGCCTACTGACCATGTTGTACCTGTTGTGTTATAATTTAACTATTCTGACTTCCGAATTCCTAACTGAATTTAGCCTTAAATTTAGAGGTGGCTTCCACAAATTCTTTCAGGTGCATTCCACTTGTTGACCGCCCTTACAGGGTATTCCACACATGTACTCTTTCCCTACTTTCTCTCAATTTAAAAGGCTGTGCTTATCTACCTTATCAAGTTCCCTCAGTATTTTGTATGCTACAATCATGTCCCCTGTTTCTTCTTACCTCCAGGGTTGTTAGATCTAGTTCCCTTAACCTATTCTCCTTGCTCAGCCCTCTTAACTCTTAATCGCGCTTTAAACTTTTGTACTTTCTCAATTATAATTTTATGCTTTGCAAGGTGTGGATTCCAGGCTGGTCTGCTGCATATGTGGACCTCCGGTGTTAGTGTTGGAGAGATATCCACTCTCTAAATAATAATAACAAACAGCAGCTCCGCTATGACTGTGATTTCTCCATAGCTCGAACAATTATGTATTAGTGATAAGACCTACACTTAATGTATGATGATTAACTGTAAATATGTAGCCATTAAAATAGAACAGTATCTGTGTAACTAGCTGCCATTATAATTATAAGGTGTTAAGGATAGATGAAATTGTTAATGTAGTAATCTCCGTTGAGGTGTGATAAAGACCTTTAGTGCCCTCGGTAATCCTTTTTGCGCTACCGCTCGCAGGATAAGTATGGGGTGCACAATAAACTAGCCCCCTCCGGCGTCCTTACCTTGAGGTTACCTTGAGGTGCTTCCGGGGCTTAGCGTCCCCGCGGCCCGGTCGTCGACCAGGCCTCCTGGTTGCTGGACTGATCAACCAGGCTGTTGGACGCGGCCGCTCGCAGCCTGACGTATGAGTCACAGCCTGGTTGATCAGGTATCCTTTGGAGGTGTTTATCCAGTTCTCTCTGCGTCAACTGTTCTCTCTGCGTCAACAATAAAATCCTCCAAATCTTTTTCCCTCTGTTCCTGTAGTTGCCTTTCCCTTATGTTGTAGATACATCCTATCTCCATTCTCACTTCTTCATTACCTTACACTTCTTGGGATTTAATTCTAGTAACAATCAGTTTTCAATGCCATCTTGTAACCTTTCGCAGTCTTCCTTGGTTTTTACATTCCCTATCAGCTCTGTGTCGTCCGCAAACATTGACATGCATGAGCTCACTCCCTCGGGGAGGTCACTCAAATAAATTGGGAACAGTAGGGTTCCCAGGCAACCCGTTCTCGTACTTTCGAAGCAATAAGATGCTTATTTTAACATACTAAGAAGGTTAGGTAAGGTCGGTGTTTTCTATGAAGCTTTTCAAGGTAAACTAAAATATTCACAATAAATTAGTATGTCACATATGCACTTATTAAATAAGTCAATATTGACAAAGTGCGAGAACGGGTTGTCCCAGGACGGACCTTTGCGGAACAAACGGAACTCTACTTGTTTCATTCCTCCAACTCGACGTAACCACGTCTTTGACTGTGACTTTTTTTCTGTACTTCAAGTGGTCCCCTTACCCAGATCATTGTCTGCAGTTATCACAGCCTGCTTCTCCATCTTGTACTCCAAACATTCATAAGGAACAGCTTCAAATGCTTTTTGACAACCTAGGAAAATAGACTTCCTAGTTTTTTGTCTTATTTTAGTAACCTTTAGATAAAATTATAATATTTGCCAGGCACCACAACTTTCCACTTCAAAATCCATACTGTACTTTTGTTAAAGTTTATCCTTTCCAGTGTTTATTTATTCTCAACCCAATTACTTTGAATAGCACTTCACACAGAATACTTGTCAGTGACATGTCTGTAACTTAGTGGCTCATACTACCAGTGTTGTGCACCACCCGTGTTGTGCACCACCAGTGTTGTGCACCACCCGTGTTGTGCACCACCAGTGTTGTGCACCACCCGTGTTGTGCACCACCCGTGTTGTGCACCACCCGTGTTGTGCACCACCAGTGTTGTGCACCACCAGTGTTGTGCACCACCAGTGTTGTGCACCACCAGTGTTGTGCACCACCAGTGTTGTGCACCACCAGTGTTGTGCACCACCCGTGTTGTGCACCACCCGTGTTGTGCACCACCAGTGTTGTGCACCACCCGTGTTGTGCACCACCAGTGTTGTGCACCACCAGTGTTGTGCACCACCCGTGTTGTGCACCACCAGTGTTGTGCACCACCAGTGTTGTGCACCACCAGTGTTGTGCACCACCCGTGTTGTGCACCACCCGTGTTGTGCACCACCCGTGTTGTGCACCACCCGTGTTGTGCACCACCCGTGTTGTGCACCACCAGTGTTGTGCACCACCAGTGTTGTGCACCACCCGTGTTGTGCACCACCAGTGTTGTGCACCACCAGTGTTGTGTACAGCTGCATCTTGGTACAAGTTACAGGAACAACAATCCATCTGGGTTCCTCACTGTTCACAGGAGCTGGACCAATGTACTATACCTGGAGGTTTACTCATAGGAGTAACGCTGCCAACGACAAAGCTTTACTTTCCTGTTGGTTTTGTGCCCACGTGTTCCTGCCACAGCGCAGGTATTAAGGAAGTAGTTTAGTAACGAGCGGGGAGCAGCAACGTGTCTGATTTGGCGTTGGACTTAATTCACACCTATTAACTATGCAAGGGTTATTAAGGCCACCGCAATATAATCTAACCAACCAGAAAATATACTTTAGGCTGAGCATAGATTAAAGTAAACTCAGTGTAAGTACACCGAGAAATAGGAGATCCACATACCGGTGAATATATCCCTGCCAAATTTCGTTAGTGAGCGTCTGGCACCACTGGCGCCGGACCAGCGCCGGACGACCGCTGCCAGACGTACAATCAACTGCCACCTTGACGATTTCTTAAAAAAAAAATGCAACCATTAACCATTTCTTATGCCATTCTAATTCAAAAACAAGATATAAATAATAAGAGCCAATGGATAAATTAAGAAGTTCAATATGAAGAGTATCATCACTTATAAGACACTGCCAGGTGCGCGCCCTGACGGCAAGGACAAAGTTGACGCAACTTCACATTCTTTAATATTGCTGTGGAATGGTGCTGATCAGGGCGTCCCCACCCCTGGAGTGCTCCACCCACAGGCTCCACTTTCCCTACTGGCTCCACCTCCACTCATTGGTTCCTCCTCCACCTACTGGCTCCCCCTCCACCCATTGGTTCCTCCTCCACCTACAGGCTCCCCCTCCACCCACTGACTTCCCCTCCACCTACAGGCTCCCCCTCCACCCACTGGCTCCCCCTCCACACACTGGCTCCCCCTCCACAATAGCTACAAGAGCAAAACAAAAAATAACACCACAATTCCCATCAAGACTTTCCTCTCTCGCGTGTAAACTTTCTATAATTCTCTTCTCGTTCTAAAAATCTACTCCACCAGCCAGTCCGTTCTCATGGCTTGCCACAGAGTACAAAATAAGGGCTAATAAAACGGCCGCGCACAATCCACCCATCTAACCTAACCAACCAACGTATAGAAAACGGATATTTGTGAGCTGCTACTTTTCCAGCCCGTCCTCGTAGACTGCACATCGCATTTTGACGTATAAATCCCTTACGGCCAAAACCTAATGTACTAAAAATCATAACAGCTTGCAAAATTGACGTGATGTCCCGGGGCCAGATTTCACGAAGCAGTTACTTACGAACGTGTCCATCTTTCCTCAGTCAAAGATTGAGGAAAGATGGATACGTTCGTAAGTGCTTGCGTAACTGCTTCGTGAATCTGGCCTCGACATCACGTCAATTTTTCGAGCTGCTATGATTTTATAAATATGATGCCATATGTGTTGTCTCTTATGATGCCCTATACCAGCCTCCTGCTTACGGTCTATTCTGGGGTCGATGCAGACGAATTTCGGTACGTTAATCGATAACAGACCCGGAAACCATGAACCACCCGTTAGTATGCAAGTGAGGGATGTTGTTCTGTAGTTTAGCACCTCCTATCTCCCATTTTGTATATTGGCACTACATTGGCTGTCTTTCAACTTGCTGGCAGTTCTCCTGATCCAGTGAGCTTTAATGTAATCGTGTAGTCCTCACGGGGCTTCAGTTCTAGTCTCACAACCTACATAGTGTTCAGCTCCAATAGGTGGCATATGTCTTCATCACTGGTAACATCTGAGACCCCTCAGCGCTGCGGGTCTCAGCGCTATCAGCATCAGAGTTCTCTCTCTGAGTACCTGTTGCACCTTTAGCGATCAACATTTCAACTCAGCGTATTCGCGCCCTCTTGCTCTACTATGAAAGCCTCCAGACTCCCACTGAATTCTCCACACATTCAAACTTCTCCTCCATGTTAATGTGTCCAACTATCCTCGGATTTATCACAATGTGAGAGGAAGAGAGGCGTACTATATCCCTGTGTACCAGTCACCTTCACGCTCGGTTCGTCCCAGACTGTTCGTCACCTTCACACTCAGATCGTCCCAGACTGTTCGTCACCTTCACATTCAGATCGTCCCAGACTGTTCGTCACCTTCACACTCAGTTCGTCCCAGACTGTTCGTCACCTTCACACTCAGTTCGTCCCATACAGTCAGCCGTAAAATAATTTTATACAGGCCAAGTAGTCATTTTCATACTGGTTATTAATCTGTTACTTCCCAGTTCCTCATGATTAGTCAGTCACTTGTCAACATGAAGAGAACCAATCACCCTCCATAGTCGCCTCCCAGTAGACAAGCCGCCCTGTAAATTATGCTTCACAAGGATAGTTACTCCCTTGTACCAGAGGTGCCAGAGAACTTGTGAATGACAAGGACAGTGAGCTCCTAGCATGTAAAGGGCCTCGGCCACTTGTGAATGACCTAAGTGATGTATTACGAGTCAGGTGGTCCGGTACGTCATTTTTCCAGCAGGTGGCAGCGTACGGACAGGTTGGGTGGGTGGCGTTCGTACAGTCCTGGCTCAGCCCTCGTTGCTAGTGTATGCGCAACTCCTCCACACGCTTCCCTGGATACATATACACCTAGTGCTCGTGTGTACCTTAGTAATTGCAAGTGCGCAGAAACAAATGAACAAATTTTTTTTTCTCTATTTGGCAATGTTTTAAATGTTAATTGTTTTCATAATATTTTGTATTTTATCGAGAAAATATAAGATTAATGGTTGAGTATGTGAGTGTTGGAAGAATGCCACATTGATCTGCACGTGTTGGCTCTGAGGGACTCAGCTCCGGCCTAACGCCGCCACTCTCACCTTTAATACTGTACTCTCCTGCTAGACGGTCACGGGGAAGCGGGACTCACTATTGCGTCTCCTTCCTGCATTTTAGAGTATATCTTGTTCTTCCTAGGTTGCTCAGCTTTGAACAATTGTGTTTATCATTACTTTTCGCTTTCTTTTGTCTGTTCTTAATGGCTATTGTGACCTTAAAGTGGTTCCTGCCGCCACCACCACCACCATGATGGTTCCTGCCTCCTCCACCACCATCACCATGATGGTTCCTGCCTCCTCCACCACCATGATGGTTCCTGCCTCCTCCATCACCACCATGATGGTTCCTGCCTCCTCCATCACCACCATGATGGTTCCTGCCTCCTCCATCACCACCATGATGGTTCCTGCCTCCTCCACCACCACCATGATGGT